GCGGGAAAAGAGGAGAAGTATGCGACCATATTTGCCTTTGTGCTGGGCTGCCGGTGTGTGTGTACTCTGCTGTGTGTGACGTTATTTCAGAATGTGTAAGCTATGATCTCCCTGCACCAGATGAAGTGCTGTCCACGGGGCGTCAGTGTGTCCGTGTCTGCTGATAGGCAGTTATCGGACATGTTTGCTTTTATCAGGAAGAAGAAATATACAGAAATGTTTTTAATGATTTGACTATGACCCTGTTCTGTGCCTATGATGCAACATCCCGCTCGCTTAGGTGTGTAAAACGCAATTACTTTGATTATGAATGTGTGTCAAAATATGTCACTGTAGATAATATGTTAATACTATCTTTTGTGAGTGTGTGTGTGTGTGTGTGCATGTGTGTGTTTGTCTTCATTGCGCTTGCTGCCCTGCTCTCCTTTCCCTCATCAGTATTCAGGGCAGGTAGGCTCCAGCACGGACCCACAGCTCAGTAACTAATGGAGGGGCTGATGGGAGCCTGATGACGACCACAGGGCCATTTGTACACACACACATACACACACTATCGCACAACACACACACACACTACATTTGTACAAACACTATGGTCATTTCCAGTCACATCTGCACCCTGCATCATGCAGGTAGTAGCCAGGTAAATTAATTATTCTGCCCGTTTTATATCCTCGATTTTTTTTTTACTGCACAAGGGGTGCAATTTGATAAATTTGATCATCTCTCCTCGTAAGTGAGGAACAATTACAGCGTGAGGCATCATCCTCTGTTTGCCTCTGTTTGTTTTGCTGCTTTTAATGCTCAGATTTTTGCCTTCAATTACCTCCGCTGCAAACTTTTCCAGCGAACCACTGCCCCTCTAAGTTGATTGCCAGGAAGTGCAGGGAATTAGAAAATTAATGTCAAACTAAGGTCAGTGTGTTGAGGTGGTGCACATATTACCTGCAATGACTTTTATACATGTTGTTTTGAAAATCTCTGTGTCTAAGAATAGTAAAAGTAAATTGCTCTAAACGTTTAAGCCTGTTTTTTTTTTTTTTTGAGTGGTCATTTCTGGTTCACACGGATCTTTCTTAAAAATATAAATCTTTATAAAACAGACGCTGAAAGATTTCCAAAACAAGCGAAATAAAATGTCAAGTTAAAGATGTAGACATGGGGATTTTAAACTTAAAGTTACTGTAAACGTCATATTCCTTTAGCTTTCTAACTTCCCTCTTCCTTTACCTTTTTTATCATCTCCTTTCCCTCCATGATTTTTTGCTTTCAGTTCCTTTCCTTTCCCTTTTCCTTCTCCCTCTTCCTCTGCTGAGCTTGGGCCAAAGAGCTGACAGCCAGTGACCTTAGGGGTCTCCAAGGCTCCCAGGGAGAAAGGTAATGGGCCCAACCCCGGAACGCACTCTCACTTCTCGGCACACATGGGCCTGCCGGCAGCTTTGATCCAGTAGCCCCTGCTCAGGTCTCCTGACGCCTGGTGAGGAAATTCATAGGAACAACTGGAAGAGGCCTGTGTTTATTCAGCTCCTTTAATGAGGAGGGAGACGGATTATCGGGGGCCTAGATCTCCCCGAAAAAACACAGGGAAAGAAAACTGCTGCTCCTTCCAGATGTTGCTCTATCACTGGTCACTCCGAAGGAATCCAACAGAGAGAGAGAGAGAGAGAGAGAGAGAGGGGGAAGATCTCGAAATGCATGAGGGAGAACTAGTGGCTGGTCACAGAATTTCCTTGTGTTTTCTCTCTTCTTCTGTCTGACCAGATGTGGGAGCTGGCCGGCCCAGAGGAGAGCAGCCGCCCAGGCACAGTGGGGAAAGCTGGGGGCTCTAACAGGGAGCTTGCAGACATGTGTTATTTTTTTGGAGGGGGAGGGGAGGGAGGGGGGGGGTCAGATGGTGTAGGTTACCAAAGCTCTCAGGCATAAGCTGTACTTGAAGCAATTTGTGCTGTCTTAAAGAGAAAAAGAAGCCGTTTCCTGAGCCTGTCCCGTATCCTCTAATGTGTTATTTTTCCAATCTTTTACACATAGTTTCATTGTAATCCTCATTAACTCGGCGGGACAAGTGACGTCGGAGCAGACGTAGAGGCCTGTCAGTCCGAGGAACTGAGCCAGAAGGTCCAAACCTGTTTTAGCTCGACATGTAAGCACAGGTGGATCTAAGAGGAGTGGTAACAATTCTCTATACCTGCAGACACAAAGCAGACTCAGGCTGTGGTGTCACGCTCTTGACCCTTTTGCCAGGAGACTGACCAGATCAATACGTCTCTCAATTGTCAAACTATTTAGGGGAGGATTACAGGTCAGACGCTGGTCAAAGATCCTCACACACGGAGGGCAAAGGTCAGCCCGCGGCGCACATTTACATGTGATTTCTACTTAACGGCTCATGTTTAGAGGAGTATCTGTGGCAAAAACCATTTAGGCTGAAGAGTCTGAAGTCAGTTCCAACTCTTTCTTTTTTTTTATGTTTCAGCCTCTAGTCTAGTCTGTCCCTGTTAGCATCCAGAGAAATCAGACCACCCTGACCTTCATCCTGCAGACTGCTGGACCGTCTAGGTTCAAGGTTAGGGCACAAACAGAAGGGAAGTCCATGTGTGTGTGTCTGTGAGTGTGTGTGTGCAAAGACTTGTGTCGAGGAAAGCTCATAGTAAGCAGTTAAGAAGATGCTGACAATTTAACCATTCTGAAACAGTTATTCAAATTTATGTACATGAACAAATCCTTCCAGAGCCATTAGGGCCTGTGTATATGTGCAATCAACGAAATGATCCTGTATGTGCACTTACAACTCAAGCTCTCTGTTTACGGCTAGTTATAATATACACAATAAACTTAAAGAGATTGCTTAATTGAATAAAATAAGACATATTTAAACTGATGCTGATTATGCTCGACAAAAACAGCTGCTCCACACCTCAGTGAAATCAAATCCACAAAAGCGTGACCTCGGAGGAGCGATTTTCTGACTTCTGTTTGGGCCTAAAATGAGTCCAGCAAAGATATCAGAAATACTCTATGGGTACAAAATATATATCTGTCAACATGATGTTATTACACGATTATAAGATTGAATCTTCTGAATGTAAGGTCTGTTTTTCTATGTAGGTTTTTTTGATCATCACATCAAAAACACAATTATTTGATATTTCTGTTTCAATTAGAAAGTGAATGCTAAAGATGTTTGTTCAAATTTAAAATAAATAATTAGGGTCATGAGCAGTAACATGTAAATTGTTGTCAGATTGAGGTTAAAAATAAATGTTTGGGGTTTTTTTTATCGCACACTATGTTGTACCTTTTGGCACACTGTGGTTAAGCCTCTGCAGATATTTCCTTTTTTTTTCCTGCTGCCACCAAAAGAACTCCAAGAGAGCAGAGTTGAGAGGTCAAAGGTAATATCTACATTTAAAGAGAACTGTAAATGAAAGTAGATCTTAAAGTGTAATCATTCTTTTTAAATAAAATAAACACTGTATTTCAAAGAGTAAGTACTTTGCCTCTGAATTAGAGTTTCAGACCACACAGTATTTATTTTAAAGAGTCATGATCGGAATAAGTGTTTACATAGACGCTTTCGGAATAATTATCGACATTAAACACCCCTCTCATTCGGAATACAATTTCTTTCTGATTGAGCCAAATTGGATCAGAATTTTCCAATCGACATGTTCACATTACGCTTTTTTATTCCGATCGGGTCTTTATTCCGATTACCGTATTTTCTGGACTATAAGTTGCTCCGGAGTATAAGCCGCACCAGCTAAAAATTGCATGACGAATAAGAAAAAACATATACTGGTATAAGTCACATTTTTGGGGGGAAATTTATTTTACACAAACCAAGACCAAGGACAGACATTTAATCTTAAAAGTTATAATGATAGTCTTGCCATCTGGCTTTTAGCCCACCATTAGCTTTTTTTTGTTTTCTTCATCGCAGTAAGAGTAACCTCTGCTTTTAGTCAGTCCCTCACAAGTTTTGCTAAATTGCCATTTTCAGCTGTATATTTCACCACTTGCAGCTCATAATCTGAAGAACATTATTTTCTTTTTGGCAAGATTTGTGCTCAGTCTTTCCCAGTTGTCAGATACGGCTACACCAGCCTAGAGCGCCCTCTAGCAGCTGTCAGTGTAAAAATATCAAACATGTCAAATTATATATTTTAATCTATATAAATCACACCTGAGTATAAGTCGCAAACCCCGCCAAACTGTGACAAAATGTGTGGAAAATACAGTATTTGTGCCGGTGTAGACGCAGTTTATGACACTCTGACAAAAACATGACTTTCCATTAGCATCAGTGGACATCACAGAGGACAGTTTTAGACTCGTGGTCGGCGGCTGACACGTCACCAACAGAGAAAAGAAGACCAGAAGTGGTGAAACCGCAGAAATTAACAAGGGCTGTTACAACACAAGGAGCCGAGTCAGAGAGACATCAACCAAATTGTAAAATGAAGCGACCACAAACCACAACACAGGATGGGCCTTGGCCTACGATGCTAAATGTTTAATGTGTATTAGATTGATAAAGTGACTGATAGGAATATCATTGCTGTGGAAGTGAAGAACAGTTTTTCAGCTGTTTAATCATTCTGAAATCAATTAAATTATCTGTGGATCAATACTTTGAGTCAGCTAGTTGGTAAATTCAGGTTATGGGAGGGATAATATATAATTAGCAGAAGGTTATGCCAAATATAAAACCCTTTAGGCTCTTGTCTGATTCTGTTGAGATAACCACCAGCTAACTGAACATTATCCCTCCAATGTTGTGCAACATGAAGATCTATATTTGAACCCCGACGTACAAAGAGGCCCGCTCCTTTAATTCACACCCCTACTCCTCTCATCCTTCTGTCAAGTTTCCAATAGTTTGTTTGGAGATTAAATCTATAAAACACAAACTTTCCTCAAAGAAAGGCTTTCCCCTAAAGTCTCACATATGTGGAGAAAGTACAATAAGAAACAACACAAAGTTTCAAGGAAACACTTACCAACTGTGAAGCCGAGGAGAGCTTCTTCCTTCACAGTCCTGCGAAACACAAGAGAAGAACATCAGTGTCCACAGTCTTCAAACACACGTTACATCCTTCAAACAGCTGTCTGTAAGAAAACAAGAGTGAACCACAGGTCTCACTCTTCATGTTGGTTTATCACGATGAGAATTCGTAGCATTTTGTAAACATCCATCTTACTGACCAATAAAATGTGCCCCAAGGCTTGCAACAAGATCTTACATATGAATGGATAAACCCTGAATAATCTCCCAAATCACAGCTGGCCATTATCATCATATTGTTATTATGTGCACATTTCTGCGACCGGCTTTGTGCTGTTTGTTATGAAGTTATATTACTACCTGAGGATAAGAAAAGCACACTGCAAAGACATGCGCTGAATACATCAACTCTCACAGAAAAGGTTATTTTCCAGAAAATGTGTGCATGTAAATAAAAGCACAAACCTTTTGTACATCATTCACAACACCTTAAAAAATTAAACAAAAACAGACTCCAGGATAAATTAAATGTCGGTTTTTCAAATTCTGAGTCAAACAATTCAGTGGAAATAACCCACCGGGCCAGCCCAGTCTTAGATGCTGCCATGTACTTCCAAAAAAACTTCTGAAAAGAATTCCTAAAAGAATTCTTACTCCACTCAAACACCAACATCTAATACCAGGTTCGTTTCTGAGTATGAGGGATGGGTGATAAATTATCGTTAATGATATATCGTCAGAAAAATCCTCTAAGATAAATATTTGCCATCTCATGACAAATACGATAAATACAAGTTGAAGATGTAAGTGCTAGCAACGGACTCGCAGCCATAGCCCACACAGAGCAGAATAACAAACAAACAAACATGGACGAAGGTAACGAAGAGGACGTTTCTGAGCAGCTCATGACCAAATGAGGCTCCACATGAAATCCACGCCAAATCTGTCCCATCTCAAGGTTGGGTCTTGACAATTCATCAAACAATAAGCGTGGTCTAGACCTGCTCTTTTTCTTTGGAAAGCGTCTTGGGTTTACGACTGTTGATTGATTGACATGAGAGATTTCCTTCAAGATTGGGGTTTAGATGAGTGCAATCAGGTATGCCTGACATCGGACAGTAGATCTGCTGCTGTTCACTCTGTGCAATAAGCGTTTTTAACAAATGTTGAAAATGTTTTCACATTTGAGACTTGTTTGATATCATTGGTTTTCTTAATAACCTACCAACCAAACTTATGGTTAAGTATCTTATTTGATGACTCCAACTAGTGTTCTCAAGACAAAATGAGTCAAAAACATAGATTAGAGTTATAATATTTTCTTATCGGGAATTTTATCGTTATCACCCATATCGCCCATCCTTACTGATTACTACCTCTAGTTGTGACCGTACAGTCAAAACATTCAAACTTTATTTAAACAGTTACATTTAAAGTTGAGACATCTCATTCTTAAAATGATCTCCTTTTTAATTGAATGTACAATATATTTCCTCTGTAGTAAATAAACCGCAGTTCAGAAAGCATGCCTGCTTTTACGATTGCAGAACAGAAACTTTACCTTAAGAAACTTTGACCTGAAGAAAAAAAAAAACTGAAAACCTACAAAAGGAGTTTTCTAACAATAAAAAAGTAAAAAACAAGAATTTCTTTTGTAGATAAAACACTCAGCCTTCTTTTTAGATGATATTATGAATGCTGGGCTAAAACCAACATGTTCCTGTTATTTGTCAGTACAGCACAGTGTGAAGATGTTATAGCCTCAATCAGCCTTTAACCCCTGCCCTGAGACAAGGTAGAGGCATCCATTCCCCTGACTCCAGGTCAGTAAGTAAGCTTGTATTTTTGGATGGCTGCTGCTGATTGTGTATGCACTTTAATAAGCGCGCTGCAGGTCAGGCAGATTTATAGGCCTGTAGTGGGGTGGAGGGACCGGACTCCCTTGGCCTCCAGCTTCCCTCTGCGCCATTACGCCAGAGTGAGATATAGTGGGATATTGATCCCAATGCCACTTCATTTTGCAATAACTATTACACGATATTCTCCCGGGCTGCACGGGGCTCCTGATTTATGCTGCCTTGCTATTTACATTAGCAGTAAGTGTTTTTCTATACCAACTGCGGAGGGTCTTACAGCCACACAAATGGACACGTGAGCATTCACATTCTATACCACACCTGTCTTTTTGCTGCCTTTGATGCCTTTTCACAGAGGCAGGGGTGCTTAACACTGCGCTGCCTGCTAGGTGAATAATGGAGGATACAAACATAAGCATATGGAAGAATATATCTCAGCCGTCATTACAGTTGAGCAGCTGACCTTGAGGCGGTGTTATTCTCTGTATCATAGCTTAAATACCTGCATGATCACACATACTCTTTATTATATCCAGAAGGATGATTTGAATAGTTTATGTGATTTATTTTTCTTTTTGAGGGAGTTTAAGCAAATGTGATGAAAGAAAAATGATTGCTGCAACTATTAAAGGTGGAAAAATATGTGTTAAATACTGACAGTGCATTCATTCGCCATCATGAAATCGTTAAAATAAGTAAGAGCTTCGTTCAGATGAAGACATTACAATCAACACTGTGTTAAAAACATGTCTTTGTGCAAACTAATTTAATTGAATGTTTCCAATTTGCAAATTATATCTCATGAACAAACAGTTGTCATGATCGGGATAATTAGGATAAGCAGCCTGCACCGTCATCAGCTGCACACTCCAGAGCTGGGTCTCTGCCAAAGTGGTTTTCCTTGCAGTGCCAGGCTGGTGCTGAGTGTTTGTTTACACACAGAGGGAAGCTGTGTCAATGGCAGAGTAAGAGTCATGAATGGGGAGGAAGGGTGGGAGACAGACCCTGTTAATACAGACATTCCCACAGGCAGCCCCCACAGGGGCACGGTGGCCCAGATGCCGTCACTGCTACACGGTGCCACAACAGAAAACAAAAGGACTAATGACCCTTAATTGCTTCAGAGCCGTTTAATATCAGACGAGTCTCCCCCCAAACAGCAGTATGTAAATCAAATCCCCCTCCTTGCCCCTCTTCCCGGTCGACCCCTAAGCTCTCTCCCCTGGCACAATCAAGTCTTTTTTCTCCAAAGGGGGCGGGCAGCTTAGCAGGCGCGCTGCCAAGTGAGGGGAGCTGGCAAGCGTGGTAATGTGCAGACACTTGTTGCTACAATGGCTGCCTGTTACGCCAGCACATGGTAGAAACCGGGTGTCTGAGGGGGCGAGTGTGAGGAGCAGATGGGCATACTATAGCCAGCACGTGCTCCCGTATTAAACATGGGAATAGAAAAGACGCGTGCTCCGCTCTTGGCTTTCAAAGCTAGCAGACACTGCCTGCATGTCCCATTCATTAAAGAGTCCATTCATATGCAACGCCAAGTTTGATTGTACACAAATGCCCCATTAAGGGAGGAAGGGCTGGGTTCCTGAATGAGTGTCAGTGTGCGTGTGTGCGCGCATTTCTACAAGTGCAATTGCTGTTGCTTGTTTGCATGCCTGTTTGCATATTTTTTTTGTTGGCAACAGGGTTTGCTTTGTGCATATTCAACAGGATTTTAGAGTCAATGTCATAACTTTTTAAAAATAAAACCTATACACCAGTCACACCCTGACTTTTCCTAAATGTGTGTATGTTTTATTCTAACATTGTTTTATCATTATACTTTCAAAACACAAAAGAGATCTGAGTACTACTACCTTGAACTACCAGAACAGTCAAATTAACTGCATGCTTCTTAGGGTGTTATATTTCACTATTTGCTTTATTTTCCCGCTCTTTCTCCTGCTCCATTGTTTTGTATTTTAAGCTTCTGTGAAGCTAAAATCTTGCTATAACTTTACTCAAAACTCAAGAGACTCAAAAATGACAACTAGTATGGAGGCTTTAGCTTTGCTCCAGAGTCTTGATGAGGAAGAATCCGATGGATGAGCAAATTCAGGGAATGATTTATCTTGGTATTTTGAGGGAGGTTCTTAAAAATCTCATTCATTATGATTCTCATTTTGTTTACTGATGTGTTTTTTATCTATTCCACCAATTTATGATCAGTTGTTTAATGTTGATTATCCAAGTTATGTGCAAATAAAGACAGAGTATGGTCGTTCTAGTAGTTTTTGTTAGACCACAGAATTTTGGTAGACCAAGTGTTTAAAAAAAAGTAAAAATTTGAGGCACAATTTAGGATCTCTAGATATAGAAATGTATTTTACAACAATAAAACAAGATATTACATCATCTAGAGGGTAAAAAGAACTTTATACCAGATTAAAACTAATTTGAGAGAAAACAAAAAACAACTAGATTGAACAGATCTGCTGAAACATACAGTACATTGTTGTCGTGCAGGACTGAGCTGCAGGCCAGGCAGGTGTCTAAAGCCCATGACCCAGTGAGATGAGAGCGATGTCCTCCCGCGCCCCTGGGTGTCCCACCGCTCCCACCAAACCCATTAACATCCAGCCTTAATGCATTTTCTATATCTGCATGCCGCTCTCTGCTATATTGAGTCTCTGGTGATTTAAAGACAGCAACAAACCTGTCCTATTTTCAGAGTGACATTATTGATAGACTGTCACTTCGAATTGTAGGTAACTGCTAATGGTTGTTTTATGGTGCATATGTCAAATCTGATGTGTGTATTTTTTTTTTTTCTCAATGTCGCTTATCCGCCTATCGTTCCTGGTTTCATTGGTGTTAAATGATTGTTATGACACAAAAAATAATCATAAAAACAGCAAAAATATTCCTCTCTTCTTTCTGATTTTGTATATGAGACTGAGTGAGGAAAATCAAAAGCAGCAACAATCAGAACCAACATTGACCAAGCATGTAAACAGTATGTCCTTTTTGTGAAGCTCTTCTCTCCTGCGTTTACTCCCTGTGCCCCCCTCCCCGTGTGTAAGCCTCCATGAACAAAGCTGCAGTCAGCATGTGTTTATGTGTTCGTCCATGTGCTGTGTAAAGCAAGGACGTGTCTCCCTCTCATGTCCAGATCTTGGAGGACCTCAATTTGTGGAGCGTTAATCAGAACACCTGCTCAGAGAGCACCCGGTGTCAGGGGCTCACTTTGTGTCCCGGTGGCTCCCTGGGTGTCGCGCTCTTTGTATCACCACTTGAATCATCAGTGTTGTTTGAAATCTATTTAACAAGTGTGCCTGAGACTGATTTGAGTATGCAAATGCTGAAAAAAGGGGAACGATATAAGAGGACATACGGTGGCATTAAAGGGCAAGAAGTGTAAATAAAGAAAAAAGTCAGAAAAAAAGTGAAACTGACTTTTTTTTACTCGACAATGACACTGGCCTGCTCCTTCCTGAAGGACAAGGCATGCGAGAGAACGACATGTGAGGAGAGAAAAAAAAACGGGACAAGGTAGACTAGGTCAGAAAAAGGCCAGTAAAGAAAGGGAGAGCAAGATAGAGGCAGCAGAGGAAACATATGAATAAATTCATGGGGCACAAAATGAAAAGAAAGGCAGAAGGGAGTGGAGTAAAAAAAAGGAAGGGGGTTGGAGTCATCAGTGGAAGATTTTTATTGTCCGGACACAGGAGATGCACACAAAGGCAGTGGGAAGATTCAATTAAGTATCATATGCAGTGACCTTATTGCCATGGTTACGGAACAGTGGAAAATATTAATCAAGCCTGCACTTGCAAGAGAGGGAAAGATGGTGGAAGGAGAGATAGAGGGATGACAGTGGTAAGAAAGATGTAGAGAGAGGATAGAGGGCCCTGGATTAGTTAATTTTTAAAATCCAGTAACTGTCTGTGCTAAGCTAAGTGTGCTAAAACTGAAGCTGATATTTTAGATGATCATTTTTTCCCCCTTTCTAAGATACGTATTCAAATGACAAAAAACAACCATGCTGAAATCAAAACTCGCTTGGCTGTAAATGTAAAAATGAGCCCAATTCAGAACTCATTTCATACAGAGGTGAACTCACTTTCCAGCTCACAATAATGTTTTAGCTCCCTCTCTGTATTTCAGGTTGAATTTCAAGTTAGTCTGTTGATGCTTTCATATTGACGGAGGGGGAAAAAAGAAAAAAAAAAACCTAGCATCCATCACACATGAGTGAATTCATTAATAACAAAACTCGCAAATGTTTGCTACATAAAAATGAAATGTTTTCATCCATCAGCGTGTTTTTTTTCTCCCTGTGTAATGGTAAACTTGCACATGGGTCTAAATAAATCCTCTGAAAAACAGCACTTGCATACTGTTACAGAGTCAGACAGACAAAATTATGACGATCATTTCAATCATATTCCATTATGATGTTCCTCTCAGTCACATTTCCCTGCACGCCGCAGAAAGGGGAAAGTTGAAGATTGTTCTGTTTGATGAAGCTGTAGAGTGTTTGCTCGCTGTCTGCAGGGACTGTCTTGAAAACAATCTATCTGAAACTCCCCCGCTGAGCAAAATGTTAAATAAACAAAGGCAGGGATAAACAAAATCCTTCCATTTCAATGTCACTGAGAAGAAAGCTAACATTTTAATGCTGCGATTGTGAAAAGGAGACGGGAGCATAACACGATCATCATTTAAACTTTGGACAGAATGCGGAAATGACTGTCTTTCTCACAAAACAGATAATTGCTGATGAATTTGATCTAATTTTGAATAACAATATGGAATATTGATTATTTCTTTTATTTAGTTGAGATACACAGTATGTGGTTCTTCAGATAACTTTGAGAAAATTTGGAAGCCATTCATGGACTAAATTAAAAATAAGCTTTAATTCCCCTCTTTTCTTTATCCACCTCTACCACTTCACATCATGTGTACATTTGCTGCATAGCTCATCATAATGTATTAATCTTTTTTCTTTTGCAATTTATGCAACTGCAATATATAAATGTTTGTCTGCTTTTGTTGTTTGTTTGTTTTTCTTATTGTTACCACCTCTATTTTAATGTTTTTTGTTCACAGTCCCTTTATGTTGAACTGTTAGTTTCTCTTGAAAAAAAGAATAAAAATATTTCAAAAACAATAAAAAACAGACTTTCTATCAAAAAGGTTCAAGACAAATTCAAGATTTAAAAATCACATATTTCCAACCATATGTTCACAGTCATGTGCACAATTTCTCAAACAGTAAAAACCAGTATCATGTACTTTCAATCTGAAGTTATACAGCCACTTTTCATAAACTGTGGAGTACCCCTCGGCGTGGTACCTGGTCCTTTGTTTTATTTAGAGATAGACATTCTCACAGATTATGTTATGATGTGTTATGTGTCACCACCCTAATGTCCGGGCATGTCGAAATGTGGCACACATGTGGAACTGTGAATTATTTTACAATTTATCTATTTTGATGTTACAAAGCTTCAAGTAATGCCTGGATTTTCACCTCTCGCAGGCTGACAGAAAGTCAGTTGGTGGATGTGGGCCGCGATCCTTTGGTAGGGATATCAATAAGGTGATATCCATTATTTATACACTGGGTTTTGTTCAATTCTTGGCCTCTAAATCTGATGGACAACATGTCTTTGATTCAAGTGATAATTCGGATACTACCTATTGTTTCTAATCAGGACAGGAGAAAAACTTTCCTTACTAGATGATATCATATACAAATTGCTAAATGTTGCTGAGGCATGTGCAACTAACAACATATTTATTTTCACAACATATATTCAGGCACTGAAGAAGACAGCTAGCTCATTGCTCAGGTTCCTGAGGAAGTTAAGTAAGCTAACCGAGGTATCGCGGTATGATATGAGATTTTCTTACTGCAAAGGCTGCAATATTGACTGGTCATGTCATCTGGTCACATGATTTGCGAGCGAGTGGTGCACAGCAGAGCAGATAAAGAGAGAAGTCAACACTGCACTCTGTTGCTCTATGACCTAACCTCGCTACAGAAGCCGACACTGCTGAAAGTTTAGTACTCAAGAGAAGCAGTACTTCAGTTGTGTGGATTTATTCTGGCTAAAAAAGATGCTGCCGCGCAACGTGTGCAGAACCTGTTGTGCTTCTGTTGCTACATTAGGAGGTAACACTACGAATCTTTATCAATACTTAAAAATGCAACAAAGATACGTATGACAGTTTAATGGCTAAAACACAAGTGACCAGCACTTCAACTTTAAACCATGTCTACATAACAACTGAAAACGCATCCAATATGGTGATGGAAGCACAGCTGAATGTATAGACCCGACTTCAGTGTTTTTGGCACCGATTACATCTTGACATCGGTACGTAGATTAGTATCATGACGTATATGAGGGTGTGTGCATCTGTGTGTGATAGTTTGTGGGCAGAGAGATTGTTTGTGTTTGATGAAAAATACATTAGAAAAAATAATGGCATATTAAATTGCAATTTTAAGAAAAAAAAAAAAAAAACACAATTAGATTATTATCCAAAATTGTCCAGCCCAACCATTTATGACTTCTACATCCTCGTGAATGACCACCGATTACAGCTACTGCTTTAACGTTTGTTTGGGCAGGTTATGAGCAGAATCTATCAGGACTGTGAGTGGGATTTTGACCATCCTGAATCATTTAGCATAGGTGAGTAATAAACATGACTAATATAGGTGTACATTCATTTTGCAAATACATCTAAAAAGGCAGACGATGAAATTCAAACTGCATGTAAACAAACAAAAAACTGACCGATCATGTTCAAGAGAAACAGGAAGCGGTAAAATTCTGTTAATTTGCAGACAAAATGACAAAAATATAATGTGAGACTTCATTTGATTTTAATTAAGGATGGAGTTTTAAGTTGGTCATGCAGTTACTACGCTCTAATGAAAATTCCTCTGAATATTGAGCTGTTTCACACAACTTTGATGAGAGAAGTTTTTTTTTGAAGAAGTTGGAGCAAGTTTGCTCTTTTATGAGTGATTTGAAGAGTGACAGGCAGTGGTCATGCGGGAAATCAGCCAATAAAGTCATAACTGAGTGATTTAAGTTCAACATTGGTTCCAACCCCTGCCCACTCTAATCCTGAGCCCTACTGTCTGAAATTCTCCCAACCCCGGCCCTGCCCTGTGGCACAGCACGCCAGGATCCATGGGTGTGACACAGACTGAGGTGGAGGAAAAGCAGAGGGGCTGTTACAGTGCCTGGTGTGACCGTGACCACTTCCAGAAACAATTTAATTCCACAGTCTCGGCCATCTCCAGCTGATCTACTCCTCAGAGGTCATTAACTGTGCCACAGAAGGTCACTTGATTAATGAGTGACAGACCCTCCGGTGCAATAACGTGTATGAACGTGGCCCATTAATTAGACAGGGGGGGGGCAGAGAGAATGAATGGCCGGGGACAGCTTGGCCCCCTCGCAACCCTGTCCTTCCCGGACGCCATTTTTCATTTTCATCTGCACAACAGACGTAAAACTACTCATAAAATACCCAAAGAAGTCTGCTTTCCCTTTAAAAATCGGGACATGATTATAAAATCTAAACCCAACACACAATCATGTTGAAACTCCATTTTAAAAAAAGGTTATGTGAGTCTAATTGAGCATGGTGCCGCCCTAAAAACAGATCCAAATGCTGTTTTTAAAGTGCTGTGAGCGCTGGCCTCAGGTTGATCTGGGTATCAAACATCAGAACGTTGTGTTGTTGCAGTCCTCTTCCAGGACTAGGATAAGCACTCTGCATTACTGAGGGCAATCTCCAAGAGGAAATGAAACATTCTGCTGCCACGGACAGGCTTTATTAGAAGACAACAAGTCCGGCCTCTCAGGATATACAGATCAGGAGATTTAATTGATGCTGACTGACTGTCAATGCACTCCTATAGCTGGGAGAAACAAGAGTGTTTAACACTGCTCCATTGTAAATAGTATTCATTTCTCAGTCTAATCAACTTAATGCAATTCCAATAAGTCCATTTCTTAGAGTGGTCTTGTTGATTTGAAACCCCATAGTCCCCTGTTTTATTTTCACCACTGCCAACAAATGTAATGGCTGCTAAGTATATTGGGCAATAATATAAGAATGCTCTACATCCAGTGCATGCATTTCAATTTTACCTTGAGGTCATAGCATTATGGATATACCCCAGTGGGGTCATTAATCATAAATACATACAGTGTATGTAATAACAACCAGTGGGGAGAAATAGACTTCAGGGAGGGCTGCAGATTAGGATGTGTGTAAGACCGATGGTTATATATGTAAACAAATCTCATCACTTTAGCCACTGCCACCTGGGTCAGTCTTTCTCAAAAGCTGGCACATGGTCATGCAGTGGATATATGTAAATAGAAGCACACATTTCTATCTGTCATTAGTACAGAAACATAATAAGCAGCGACAGGGCGAGCCAAATTCAGTCAGTGCACAACCAGGAAAACTACATCCTTTGGAAAAGAGGAAGAAAATAAGACAGAGCTGTTGAGATGTGTGTTTGTGATGAATTCTGGGTCAGAGGATATTTATCTGTCATTATGAATATGGAAGAATAATAATTTATGAGGCATGCTGATAATAAACATAATTTTGAAAGGTGCTGCTGATTTTTTTTCAGTACTTTTTTTCTAAATGAACAACAAAAATAAAATAAAAATATTCTTGCATCCTATCAAACATTCTGAGAACCCCTTGACCCCTTCTGAATAAAGCATCTCTCTAGAGGTTTGACACACATCTCTCAGCATAGATCTGAAGACAGCCATGAATGTTGTTTGCCCTCTGATATATTTTTAATATTCAGATCATATCAAATATGTCCTCTTTCAATAATTGATCTATCTTCTCGCAACATAACACATGCTGAGCTTTGGCATGTGAGTTCTACGCCCTCGTCAGAACATCTTCTTGCTTCCTTACAGGATGATACGAATGGCTCTGGCTGCTCCCAGGATGCAATGCACTTGACCGAGGGTGCGCTCCAACGAACCCTGTGACCACAGACGAGCTGTCAGTCTGTCCAGAATGATACGTGCCGTTGATACTACACATTAGAAAAATATTACGAGTATGATTGAAGATGTTGTCCTTGAATCTGTAACTACAAAATAATCAATATTTTAATAATCAAACATAAAAATATAAAAATTTTGAGAACACACATGTTAGCATGTTACTTGATTTTTTTCTATTTGGTGCAGAGATGTTGTGTAGCATATTTGCCCAAAAAAAATCCATTGTTTTCAAAAAGGAACACGCTGTAACACAAACATATCTGAGTCTAATGGACTGAGTGTTTTTCATTCCGCCTTTTGACCAACAGCATCTCCTGTGGTGGTTCATTTCCTTAGTGCGAGAGGTTCCCACCCTCCAATCGCAACCGGGCTTCAGGGGGGCACGCTAGAGAGAATGCAAGATGGAGGGAAGGAGCAAAGTGGAAGAGGGGAAACCATGCTGGGAGAAAGGAAATCTTCCATGCGCAGAAGCAGAGTGGCTAGAGGACATTTCACGCTAATGGCGGCCAGGCCAATTGAAATGACTGCAGCGCTGCATGATTTGAAGGTCAGGAGACAGCGGATTATATTCCAGTGTTGGCGAAGGGGGATTGGAGGAGTAAAATGGTGCCTCCCCACCACCCCGCCTCCTCCTCCTCCTCCTCTCTTGAATTATTGCAGAACAGCCAAGATGGAATCAACATCACACCAAACCCCACCTTCATTACATGTACACAGAGCACAGAGCTATGAAACACACAGCCCTGCTCGGGTCTTTTCGGCACTGTACATGATAAACTTGAAATCTGCTGTGAATTCAGAGGCTCGCTTTGTGCACATCAAACCACCATGCTCCCTCTACAGTATGCTACTGCAACTATTTTTGTTATGCCACCAAATTTCATTCATTCTCCCTCGTAGTAACAAAAAAAAAATATGGTAACATTTTACTTGACACCTCTCTATATAACACATTGTAAATATATGTAAAACGCAATATAATCACATTAAAGAACTGTATAACTATAGTTATAAACACTCATTAATGATTGTGATGCTTTATGGCAATAAAAATAACATATTTTAAAACATTTTATCATGACTTACAAGATCAGGTATTATAATTTGTTATGCTTATTGTGATAAAGCCTTATGATAATTAATGAGTGTTTATAATGATAGTTATACAAGTTTATAAGCAAATTATAACACGCCATAAATATGTGTATAATGCATTACCTATGTGGGCATTATCAGTGAGTTGTTAATAGTTATAACACATTGTAATACCTGTCCTTGTAAGTCATGATAAAATGCTTCATCATGTGTTATGATTATTGCTATAAAGCTTTATGTTTCAATTTAAAATCAGGATGCAAAAATGAGTACACCCCAATCAAAGTTCTGGGAGGAAAGCTAAATTTTAGTTGCAATATCACCCTTATTTTCATCTTATGGTAAAAAAAATGTAATGTTGAACTCAGTTTTGTCTAAACTTTGAAAACTGCACTTTTGTTCATCTAGATGTTGAGTAATACGTTACTTTTAATAGGGGTTGTACTCACTTATGCTGGGCGCTGTATATGTTTTTACCTAAAGGTTAGCTTTCGTTAAAAATCTGTATTTTCACTTTTAAAAAACTGCATCATATTTGATCTCAGTTTTAAGAGGAAGAATATGATTTACGTTATGAAAGGTCAACAAGACAAAAAGCATTTTATCATGACTTACAAGATCAGGCATTATAATGTGTTATGCTTATTGTTATAAAGCCTTATGATAATTATTGAGAGTTTATAATGATAGTTATACAAGTTTATAAGCAAATTATAACACGTCATAGATAAGTGTATAATGCATTATCTATGTGGGCATTGTCAGTGAGTTATTAACAGTTATAACACATTATAATACCTGACCTTGTAAGTCATGATAAAATGCTTTATAATGTGTTATGATTATTGCTATAAAGCATAATGATCATTTATGAGTGTTTGTAACTATAGTTATACAGTGCTATAACGTGATTATAACATGTTATACATATATTTATAATGCGTTATAGAGATAGACGTCAAGTAAAGTGTTAGCAAAAATATTTCCTTTAAATGAAAAAAAAAAAAAAGGTATATTGATGATAAATATATCGCATGTGAAGGCCAAATCTTGATTACAGTGTCAAAACTCTTGATTTTCCTCCTGCAGCTGATAAAGCATCAGATGTGGTCAGGGTTAAAGGTCGCTAAAGTTAGTCACACATGAGAAAAGCGTGAAGTGATTATGCACATGGCTGCAGTAATAAGTTGTAGTGAGATGTGTTCAGACACAAACTGTGCAAAGCAGGCCAACATGCTGTTATCCAACATATATTCAAGGAATTAAGGCAAAAGAAGCGTGCAAGTAAATATGAAAATCAACAAGATATGAGGGAAAAAGCATGTCAAGCAGAATTTCAGGAAACAGGACCGTAAATATAATTAAACTAATCCCCTGGAGGCATCAGCTTTCCTATCTGCTTCATGTGATTCTATGATTTCAGGAGAATGTGCATTTTTTCCTAGACTCTCATTGACTTCTGCATCTTTCTCAGGCCTTCTCATCACATACATGATCATTTTTTGTGTTGATCAGACTCCCAGCTGCACCTCTTATCTGTAAAACTGAAATTTTGCATCCAGACCAGGAAGTGGCAGGTAGCTACATGCGGCTATTTCCAGTGTCAGCAAACACTGCCTGTAAATGTTGGCAAGCGCAGCGTCCAATCAGAGCTGCTCTCCGGCACTGACAGCGCAGAGCTGGACATCTCATAGGAGGAGAGCTGGTGCCACTCTCTGTGAGCCGCCAATAAAGGAGCGTGTATCATTGAAAGGTATGAAGCACAGGCTCTTACTGCCATGCCGACATTCACATGCTGATAAAAGTCTCCGAACAAAAATCAGTGAATCATATATCTCAAATATATCCTTTATTCCTCATTTGTTTTTACTCAATTCTTCACATGGAAGAGAAGGGAAAAGGTGCTCTTAGAGACGAATGTCTGAAAAGACAAAGAACCTTGGAGAAACAGAGTGTTTCCTTCCATATTTTTTTTCTTGATAAGATAGGAGAAAAAGAAAATAAAGACAAATGAAAGGGAAGAGTTACAGATCTGTGTTGTGAATTTGTATAGAAGCGACACGACAATGAGATTTTTGAGGAGTTCATAAAAGAATACATGAAAAATGACAGATTTTTGTTTGAGATTTTTCATCCCACATATTTAGACACATTTCCCATGAGGTTTCAAACTCATAAAGATGCCTAATTTTATAATACAACCATGAGAAATCAATTGATCTGTAAAGTTGAATAAAAAATAAAAAAAATATTGTAGAATTTGCTCCATTATGGTCCTGTTAACTTAACACATGCAGTGCTCAGCATAAATGAGTTCACCTCTTCAGAGTAGTCAGAAAACCTTTAGTTTCCTTTCAAAATCAACATTTTCTACATCAGACTAGACAACTAAATACTCCCCCAAATATAGGCCATTGATTGCAAACAAGATTTTTTAAGTTGCATACAAAAAAGTATTTTTTTTTTTCAGTTTAAAATCAGGATGCAAAAATGAGTACACTCCAATCAAAGTTCTGGGAGCAAAGCTAAATTTTAGTCACCATATCACCCTTATTTTTTTTATCTTATAGTAAATAAAATGTTATGTTAAACTCAGCTTTGTCTAAACTTTGGAAAATGTACTTTTGCTCATCTAGATATTGAGTAATACTTCACTTTCAATAGGGGGTGTACTGACTTATGCTTGGCACTGTATATGCTTTTAACTGAAGGTGAGCTTTAGTTAAAAATCTATATTTTTACATCTAAAATAACAGCATCACATTTGATCTGTTTGAAGAGGAAGAAGATGATTTATGTTATGAAAGATGAACAAGACAAAAAGGCTTCTCATTATGAAAGTAATCCCTGCATACGTCAGGCACAGGTCGCAAGTTTTTCATGAAGAATGATCTGGTGCACCGGATGAAGAACTCAGAAAGTAATGGTGGTAAAATTCAACCCCCACAGCCAGTCAGTCAGCCAGCCAGCAAGCCATCCAGCGTGCTTGTAAAACTCTTCAGTAGATAACAGGCGACCAAGGTAGCCCCGTCAATCCAGTACATGTTTGAATGGCTGACCATGTTAAGCTCCTAAAGCAGGCTTTAATCCAGGATTTTGGGAGCACAGCTAAGTTTGGCACGTCATCATGGCGAGGCCCAGACCTTAGCTGGAGTTCAATCACTATGCAGAAGCACAGGCAGCCCCAGTCACACAGGCTGTCAGTACAATAAGGCTGAAAAATAACAGGTGTGCTGATTACAAATAAAGTGAATTCTTTGAATATTCACTTCATCTATCAGTATCTCAACTTAACTTGAGTTTATCTGGTCTATAAGAAATACCTCGACCACATTTGTGTCCTAGAATCAGGAGGTGCATTCAATTTAAGTGAACAGAGGTGAAGCCCTCTCCTCTGTAGTACAATGTGAAAGCCTGACAAGAGAATTGGATCTCATAGAACCTACATGACCTCGCTGGCCAGACTCAGTGCTGGCCTCATCCCTCCAGACAAACACAGGCCAGACCACATCAGAGAGCACAGCAGAGCGTCCTCCGCTCAGCTCAACTCCTGATACACACACACACACAGGCCAGCTCAGATCAACTTTTAAGATAGCTGTGCAGACAGACAAACATATTAAGAGATGAGAACTCCTGACTGAGCATCTGCAAAAGTAGCAATATCATGTTTTAGCACAGGAATAAAGAAGGCGATACAGCTGCAAGAGGCCCAAAGTCACTCCAAACAAAAATACACACAGACACACTTACACACACAGAGCAATCTTAGGGTGCAGGCCTAGGGCTCAGGCCAGGGCTTAGGGCTAGAGCAGGGCTTAGAACAGGGTGTGCTTGCTGGCAGATGGGGGATATTAGGAGCACAGTGTTGACTGATATATCTTCCTGCCCAGTGGAGGACCTGACTTATCATCTGACATATGAAAAAATACCAGAGAAGCTGCGCAGAAAAGAAAGGAAATTAAATGAGAGAGGAGGATAAAGCAGAGGAGCATACCAACGTGGTCGCAGGCGTCTGTTTAGCTCCTTCTGTCTCACTCACAAACACACATCGTGCAAAGCACACGCACACGCACACTCTGTTTATTCTACACGTCAGGGTTGAAGTGATGTTTCTACTTTTGTTCTGTGTGTGCCATGAGCACAACAAGAGCTGAAACACTATATGACTAATTGTGACTGCTGTTAAAAATAGTCTTTTATGCATGTCAGAATAACTTACTTCCTGTGCCATTTATGGAGCTTCAATCTGGATCAACGCTGCGTGGCAGTTTTCATTTACAAATACAGTTTTCTGCAGAGTATGTGATAAAAACCGATAGAAAAAGACACAAAGTTCTGATCTTAACTTTATTTTAATTGTAGTCTCATATATGAATATGTACCCTTTTATTTTGGATCTAAAGTGATGAACGTTTATTCTTAATTTAGCTTGAGAAATACAAAGCACAGGAGCATTAAAAGTTTTTAGCTCAATTTGACGCAAATATGAATGTTTTAGAATATTTAATGTGACACAAAAAAATGTTGCACTTGTCCTTTATACTTTCCTCTAAGCCTGTTGGACTTTTTTTTTTACAAAAAGTCAGCAATGAATCTTACCTGTAAATTAGGGATGCATCGATCCGCTATTTGGATCGGATATTGGCTCCGATATTGACAAATTAACTGGATCATATATCGGATGAATGACGCCGATCCAGGGTTTGATATTAATTAATATCGTACACAGCAACACAGCGATTCTGTTTGCTCTATATTCTATGTCTGTTTATCCTTTAGCACTAAATGTTTACGCTGAAGTCTTACTTCTTTTCTCTGTATGCTAATGTGCAATTTATTATTTGTTAATAAATAATATTAAGTAAGTTTTTATCTGTGTCAATTTGTTACTTTTTTTTTTTTTAACATGTCAAGCCTGATGTCTTCACTGACAGGCGAGGTATACAGTTCATTCATTCAGTAGTAGTATTGGATCGGTATCAGATATCGGCCGATACGCTCAGCCCAGGTATCGGTATCAGATTAGATCGGAAAAAAATGGATCTGTGCATCTCTACTGTAAATTGGTAAAAATGTTGAAGAAGACTTACTATCTACTTTTAATCAATTTTCTCTCATACAGTGAAAAACTGGTGCCTTAAATGGTTGAGAGTGACAGCAAACAGTGATTTGTTTGAAACTTTGAGAAACAACCTCGCAATCCAGGTACACTGTTCATGTTTACGCCCAGACTCAGTAAAAACACGCCTCATATTGTGAACACCTGCCCCAGAGCCATGTCAGCGCTGTGAGTGGTCAGATAATCCTCCAATCAGCACATGTCCACGGCAAATAATTGCAACTGAAAATAAATCAACTCTTATTAACACTGGGGGAGTTTCTGTGCTTAGTATTTGGATTTATATGCATGTAAGTGAGTGTAAGTGACTAAGTGAGAGAGTGACTTAGGTTGAAGAGGAAGGAAAGAGAGAGAGAGAGAGAGAGAGAGAGATGGGGGGGGGGGGTCCAAATGGATTTCAGCACTGGAATAAATCACTGTCGCCACAGAAACAAGCCGACAGCTGTGATGGATGGCTGAAATTTTTGTGTTGATGTCTTTAGTATTGCTGACAATTTGGTAGTCCCGGCTTTTCCACTTTTCCTGTGCTTGTGTGTGGCTAAACACATCTAAATGCGAGCACATACCCAGACTCAGACACAGGATTTTACACCTGCTCCAATTCTCATTTGTAGATTAAAAAAAAAAAACATGCTTCACCATGTTTTGGTCACATGGTAAACTTAAGATCATTGATGAAAAAGCAACTTTTGTACTTAATTAAAAAAAAAAACTGTATCAAATATTTTTGTAGTATTTTGACAAATTTTAAAATTTCCAAATGACTTTTTTCCAAAGTGTATCCACATTTCGTATGTGGCGCCGGTCACCATCTTGTGTGCGTGATGAGGTCACATGTTGTTTTTCGCACCTGTAAACGCTGACCCCTCTCATTGGTTAAGATGCTGCCACATGACACACAGAGAGAAAAGGTGTGTTTGAAGTGAAAACCGTCCACCTATCACTGCGGCATCTCTTAGTTTCATCCAGTAATGTCTCCCTTTTTTTTGTGACACAATCTAATTCACCTCCACTTTCCTGATCTGGCCCACTATACTGCTGCTGGGCGTTGACTTTTAGCCCCATCCTTGAATACACAGTCACTCACTTTTTTAAATACAAAGCACACACACACAAGCATACAGACAGACTGACTATTTCAGCATCACTTCCAAAAAAACACATTTATTTTTAACCACAGGGTCCATATACAAAATCCATACATCCCAAGCATAAAGTTATGTAAACATGAGAAAACTATTCACCTGCACACACACACACACTCTCTCCCTCTCCCTCCCCCTTGCTCTCCCTCACACACACACAAAGTAAAGAGTTGGGCCGCTCTAAGCCAGCCCCCCCACATCCAGTGTTTCCATCTGCTCTCACCTGGCAGGATCAAAAGGAGCACACTTCCCACAAACTTACAAAAGATCAATACTTTCTCCAGCAAAACAAAGCAGCCACAGCCTGAGCCTGAGTCCCAGCTCCACACTAACTGCTCTCAAAGTCCTGAAGATAGAAAGACAGCATCCATAGAGCAGAAATTAGAAGAGATTTTACTGACCTTACTGTCTGTTTTGTCCTCCCCTCTCCCTCCTGACGTCCAATCCCCCTCTTTTTTCCTCTTCTGCTGCCTCTTGTCCTCTACACCTCTAGTCTGAGTAAGTCATGCAGGAGCTGCTTCCTGCTCCTGCTCAGCCCTACGCCACTGTATTAGTCTGATTTCACACTCTGCAGCCTAGCCTCTTGTCCTGAAGGGGACGGTGAATGTGCTGCTTATTTAGAAGCCGGCGCGCACTACCTGGGCTTGTAGGCAGCTGTTTAAAGCACGAGGCAACATCCAGGGTGCATAATACCCCCTCTTCCTTACACACACACACACATCTTCTCTCTCTCTCTCTCTCTCTCTCTCTCTCTCTCTCTCTTCCTCGCTCTCAAACACTCATGCACACACACACTCACTCACTTGCTGGCTGGCTGGCTCGCTAGATAGATAATGGCACAAACACACGCACGAGCAAAGTGAAACACACACACACACACACACACACACACACATGCAGGCGGTCTGTCAGAGGTCTCTCTACCTTGGCTGGGATAGCAGGCAGTGTGAGAACACACACACACAGGCACAGTGAGCTGGGCTGGCTGCTCCGTTCCCTCTCCTTCTCTCTCTAAGTGTTTAGAAGACAATTTCAACAAGGGATTGCTCCCAATCTACTAGGGTGATCCACATGGATGAGTTATAATATGCTTGCCACTCTCTCCCTCTCTCTTGGCCCCCCTCTTCTTCTTCCTCCTCTCTGTTCCCTCTCTCTCTCACTCTCTCTCTTTCTCTCTCTCTCACTCTTTCGCTCTCATGCTCGTTGTTTTAGCCTATTATCGAGCCGTCACCACTCTCAGTTCAGGAGGAAAGCCTTTCCTCCCGTCTTGGATTCTATATTTCTCTCTGGATGTGCATGAGAAGGGGCCACAGACTGACTCCACCTGAATGCGTATTAGTGAAATGCATTATTTATTGCAAAAGCTGCATTCATTTTTTTTTTTTCTGATATGCCGGTGGACACGAGGGGGGAGGGAGTAGCGGTGGTGGTGGTGACTATAACAGCAGCGATGTAGGGGTGTATTTTTGATGTGTGTGTGTGTGTGTGTGTGTGTGTGTGTGTGGGAGACAGAGGGGGGTGTGAGGGGTCAGGATTTGGGATGGTAGGGGTTTGAGGGGAGGTGAAAAGAATACATAAGATATGATTTAATTTATTTATTTATTCAGAAGCTGGGATTGCCTTATCAACCTGGGTGTTGCTTAATGACATCACTGCCGGGCTGTCCCAAATCGCACCGCCACTCGCTTCAAGTCAGAACCATGTGTGTGTGTGTGTGTGTGTATGTGTGTGAGAGTGGATGAGAGCGAGAGAGAGAGAGGAAGAGAGAGATGTGTGAAAGTGTGAGACACCCAAAAATAAAAAAAAATGAAAAACTATGAAAAAATGTTTGAAGATCAAAACATGACTTACTTAAAAGCACAAAACAATAATTCTATTAAAACTGCTTTTACAAACTGTTTCCTGAAACAGTGTTTGGAGTTATTACTCAAACTGTGTTCCAGGGTTCTGACACTGTTGACATTTCCATACCTTTCTATACCCTACTTATTTTTGGAGATACCTACTTTTCTATTTTAGAACTGTGGTAGTAGTCTGGAAACTTAAATATTTTCCCATACTTTATTTTTTATTTTCCATACTTTTTAGGACATGGAAATTGATCTTTTTTTTCCATACTTGTGTAGGAATCCTCGTGTTTGCTTTCTGCAAACTTTTTATCAAGATGACTAAAAACTCTCCACTTAAATATTCCCATTTAAAATGTCAGCTCAGGTCATTTAAAAAAGTGATGAACGTGGGATTAAACTCCACCTTTTGATGAATAATGATAATTCAGCACATTTTAGTGAAGTGTAACTGGGATAACTTTGTGGCACTAATTAAACAATGTTGAACAGAGGTGCTTTAGTGATGTATTACCTTTTATTCTCCTGTCTTAATGAACAAAGTTCAAGCCAATAAAGTAACTTGACATTTAACTGAGAGAGTTTGACTGAAACGTATTCCCTTTTCTTTTTAAATCATCCATTTATAGACGCTCAAGAGGATCAAAACAAATACCTGAAATAACCCCTGACCTTTCTGTGAGCTCTCTCAGTTTCTCACAGAGGGAATAAGTTTTAATAAATACATAGGGTTTATTAATAGCAGATAAAAACTTTAAATAGATTCTTTTGAGTGCAGAATGAGTTTAAGTGTCAAAAAACAACCTTCAAAATAACCCTCGACTCATTTCAATCCACTTAGGCATGTCTTACAGGCTAAAAATATGATGCTGAACTAAATTAAACGCTAAATACGACGCTTAAGTTTGTATTTTCATCTTTAGAGCAGTTGAAATAGATCAAGTTACTCCTCTAAGACCAGATAGAAAGGCATAATTGGAGCGGCCAAAGGTCGGTTAGACTGAAACCTGGACTCAGACACAGACGGGGGGAGGAGGGGGTGGTGGTGATGGTGGAAGTGACTGCGTAAGCTGGAGTTGCCACGCTCGGTCAACAGGCTGCCGCAATGTGCACCCATGGGGGCAAGCAGCCGGGGCTGGAGTCATGACTGCAGAGTAGACCCCCAAGACTCTGTCAGCACTATCAGCCTCTCCCTCAGCAGCAGAAACAGACCAACACAACAGAAACACAACCAGCCAGCAAATTCAGGCGGTATGGGAACTGCTGTAGCCTCTGCTGAATACAGAAGCGGGTTTTTTTCTCCACAGAAAAACTACACCCAATGTCGCTCAAATCAGATCTCATCACTCATTTGCAAAAACGGAAAAGAAAGTGAAGTTAAATGTTTACAAAATCTATGAGTGCCTTTTTGAAATTCACCGTGCTTTACCGAATATGAAAGTCTAAATGAGTCCCCAGAGTTAAGAGTCCTCTTAACAGCCTTGGTCTTCAGCCACAGGATGCCCATCTACAGCACCTACCAAAGGAAATGATGTGGCCCTGGGCCCAGCCAGGCCATTCTATCACCGCTATTAGGGCTTAAGCAGAAGTGCAAAATTACTCCACTGGCATTAAGAGTCCATCTCAATCATTTTAATACTATCATAATCATGAGACTTTCTAATATTATTTTTAAAAGCCTTATAGAGAAAAGAAAAAAAAAGGGGGATTTCATTTCCTTTGCTTAACCAGGCTAAATTGCGAGAGAGAGTAAGTGAAAGGAGGAGAAAGTGATATCTTATGAGACAGAGACAGAAAGTGATAAAGAGTCACCTCTACTCCCTGGTACCAGACCCCCTCCACCCCCTCCATCCACTCCCTTCTTTTACTACCGCCAACCCTCACACTGCCACACACCTCCTCCTCCTCCTCCTGCGTGTCTCTGCAGCATCTTTGTGACAGAGACTTGAAACACAACCAGAAAAAGACAATTAATATTAATGTTTTAACAATGTGACTGTTAATGGAGCCTTCATCGCACGTCTGTCACACGTCCTCCTCCTCCTCAACCTCTAACCCCCATCTGACCGATCGTATGTTTACTGGCTTTGCTGCGTCCCTCTCTGTGCGCATCGTAATCAAAGTTAGTCGCCACCAAACAATCCAAAAGTGAATCTTTCTTCCTCTTTCCTGTTTTTTAACTTTTAATTTTCCTGAATAGCATTATTATGTATTATTAATTTCTCTGAATTATTACTCATTTTCCCTCTTAAAATGGAGTGCTTTAATTCACATTTGAAGTACTCATCAAGGCGGCACAGTCAAATGAATGTGGAAGGATACATTATATTTGCAAAAAATGCAAAGGCTGGATTAAAAATATATAGCAATACTGAAATATTAACTATCAATTTCAAAAAGATAATTTGCACAGAGGAAAAAAAAGGCTTCTCATGACTTCTGTGCCTCTCTCTTCTCTTTTTTGAAGTCTTCCTTTTCTGATTGTAGGCCCCTGAATAATATGCAATTATCATGTACTTATCACTTGTGCATCAAATACACTGAATATTATATTTCCATTATGGTGTGTTCACTTTCATGAACACAATGCACAAAAGGGGGACACGGGTGCAGCGTGGCAGAAGTGATGCAGTGTAAAATTTATGTCCAATACAGAATCAGATGGAGCTTCTGTGAAGAAAGGGAAAAAAAGCACGGAAGTAAATCAAAATACGTGAAAGTTTGAACCACTTCTTCAATATATATTTACAATAGTGAACTCTAATTCACCCTTGAAAGTGTGACCTTGTGCTGTGTGACAGGAGATAGCCGCAGCATGAAGACAGGACGCCACTTATCATCAAGGGACGAGGTGGCTGTTTAATTTCACACTACCAGTAGCTAAAACCTCTGTTGGTGTGGAGCGCTACAATGGCCGCTACGCTGGGGGAGCAGCTGTCCTGGTGGCGGGGTGTGAAGAGAGGAGGAGGAGGAGGAGGAGGAGGAGAAGGACAGGGGAGGAATAGTAGTGTGGTCCTGTTTGAGTCTGACCCCGAGCATATCCCAGAAAATCCACCCCTCTACACATAAATAAACACAAACATGGCGGCTTTTACATGCCTACTGGTGAAAATGAAAAGCAGCAGGATGGGAGGAAGTGGACAGGAAGTGACACGTGTGAGAATATAGGTGCAGCAGTGATAGTGGCGGACAAACAGAGAGTTTTCGCTTCGCCGTCGACGCTGTGGAGGCCAATATAACCGAGAGCCCGATTGCTTTCTGAAGAGCTTTCCATTGTCTGCTGTGATGAACTTGAGCTCTGGCCTCCAACCCGAGGGTCTTTCTGTCTAATCCTGAGTGCCCCCGGCTTCCCTTCGCAGCCCCTCCTTCCAATCTCACACACACACACACACACATACACAGACATAATACACAGGCTTCATCTGACGCCTGACATGACTGCAGGCTTGAACAGTGACCAGCGCCTCCCCACACAGCTGAATATAAAACACAGTAATGAGCCGAGCGAGAAAATGGCTTCCCTCTCAAACATGGCTGCTTACTGATGGCCAGGCGCGAGCCTGCGAGAAAAAGGTCACCTCTCTCATCTTTTTTTCTACTTCCTGTCTTCTTCTTCTTGTTTTCTTTATCGTTCATTTTTCCTCCCCCCCTTTCTTATCATCCTCCTCCACTTTCCCTCTCTGGTCATTTTCCCCTTTTTCCCCGGTTTCATATGCGAATGTAGGCTTATTATTTAAGAGACAAAGGAAAGGGATCTTGGGAAGAGACAGGTGGCTGCTTCTGAGTGATGAGAAAATTACCAAAGTGAAATCTAGCTCTAAAAAAAAAAAAAACTCTCCTACATGGAGGGTAATAATAAAAGGAAATAAAAATAACCCTGCCCCTTCCTCTTTTTTGGTACAGCTCAGCAGGAAAAAGAGCAACCCCCTACTCCCTTCCCTCCCCAGTACGATTTTCAAATCCCCTCTGAGCACTCGGTCCAGCCAGATATATTCATTTTTCCTCCGGTACTCCCCCAGTGTCATTTTTCTCCATTTTCTCCATCGGTCGGTTGTGCACAGAATGTTCCGAATGCATTTTGAGTGCTTGATTTCTATTTTCATAATATCAGAACATCAAGTTAAAGAATATAAATGTTTATTCAGCAGAGTGGGGAAAGGGTGCAGCGACTCTTGGGGGACAGAGCCCGTGCTAAATCAGTAAATCACTCCATCTGGAAGATGAACGGCATGTTTTGGAGTTCATTGCCTTTCGTCTCGGGCGAGTGGCCGGTGTAGCGGCGGGGCCCAGCATGCTGGAGTGGAGGTGTCTGCTGATGTGGATGGTTACAGAGGGATAATGAAGCAGCGACCAGGGGCTCGGCCATGTTCAGTTCACCCCGTCCATCCTGCTGTGAAAGAACCAGCCGCAAAACACACCTATTAGTCGGTCTTCTTTCAGAGCCATCATAAGGCCCCGCTGTCTGCTGCGACTGAAGAGCTGCTCAGAAAGTGCTAAGGTGTAAAAATGGTCAAGGTTTCGAGTCCTCGGCAACTTTCATCTTTTTCATTCTTGAGTCAGCACCATGTTGGACTCTTTGACAGCTTACTATGAAAAAAAACTCGGAGGAAAATCTTTCCACAACTGTCCCTGCTGTCGTCGGTCCTTTGAAGCACACCCCCTCTTTATGACAGTGAGATTACCGGCTAAAACCTGAGGTTATCAAAAAAGGAAAAGTATAAATAAATGAAATGACCCGTCCAACATATCCAGACCACAAAACACACAAACACAAGAAAGACTCTATCACCTGCATCTGACTTACAAATATCTATTTATACTAAGAGGTTCAAACCTTCCTAAAACAAAACAAATAAAACAAGAAAATGACAGATTCTTGCTTCTGTGCTGAAATTAAATGGCCTTGGAAAATAATTAGAAGCAGTTACTACAGATTTCTTTTCTAAATAAGCTCATTTATGATCATAAGTCTCTCCATATGCAATTCCAATAATAAATCTTGATTTAAACTGCTATGATTAAGCTCATTAAGTTGCCATCTCCATGCTAATGTTCAGATTTTAGCACAAATTTAAAACAAAACATGTTACTTATAGATTTTACTTTTTTTTTATATCCCTGCAGAATCAAAACACTCTTGTACGACTGAGTATTAGGGCGACATTAAGAAAAAAGAAAATTCAAGATTTTGAGAAGAAAGTCATTAATTTATGAAAATAAAGTCATTTCTAACAAGAATAAAGTCAGAATAAAGTCCTTATATTCTAATCTACTGTTTATGATGACTGTTGTTGAAATAAGAGCCATGGAGCATTTCGTGAAAATGTACTTCAATATAAGTTTGCAAGCAAGGAGATACCTAACACTATGGCACATCAGCACCACATTATCACAGACATCATAATGATTTTTTACAACTTTATTCTCATTAGTAATGATTTTATTGTCATAATTTAACAACTTTAATCTTGAAGTCTTATTTTCTCTTTCTTAATGTGGCCCTAATACTCCGTCGTACTCTTGCTCCAAGTTCACTGAGTTTAAAAAGTTAAATTTTCTAAACTCATTTCCTTCCCTTTACTTACATACAGTATCAATTAAAACATCCTGTGTGTGTATAGATGTATATATTTATCTCACTATTCTACATTTTACAGCAACTGCGTGTCAGACTTTGTAGACCTGAAGCGATGAAACATGCCTCAAACCAAAAATTCAATCTCCCACATCAAAAACCTGTATATAAATGAACGCCAAGAGGACTGCCCTGCTCACCTGCACCTCAAACTGGAATATGAGGCAAAACAAATTTAAATAAGTTGATAGAGTTTATCAAAATGACAGGCAATTAGAGCGGCTCTGACCATGGGTTTGCATGCTAAATGAGAGTCATTTAAGGAGTTGGAGCCATACATGTTCTATAAAAAAAGAAAGAGAGAGGGAGAGTTCTTGTAGCTTCATTTCTGATCCTGGACAGGCCTGAATTAAATATCCCCAAAGTCCATTAGGGCTAAACAGCCGCAGGAAAGACTTTGTCTCACCGCAGAAAAATGACAGTAAACTCAGGCAATCACGCCACCAATCAATTATGAATGAATTATATTTTTCTTAGACTGTGTAAAATGTTTTATGTTAATTCCTCTAAGTATACAATAACCATTACTTTCAAGGGACGTGACCATATGCACACAGTCTAAATGAGTGTTTTTTTTTTGTTTTTTTTTTTCATTTTTGACCAGAGATTTATCAACCTCATGCTGCCAGCTGAAATGAAAACACAGAGCTCTCAGTTGTGATTCTTTCACGTCAACTGTAAATGCAGAGGCCACAGGCAAAGCTCGGAGTGCTTAGAGCCTACATGGCTGTAAATCTACCGATCAAAAACATCCAGAGAAAATAAAATATCTTGGTGTGATGACAAACTCTTCAAGAGATGCTACAGCATGAGTTTTTTTAAAACAAGAGAGGAAGAGAGAAGGGAGACAGAGAGGGGTTGTGGAGTGGGAGGCGGGGGGATTTGCATTGACCCGTCTCGTCTATGAGCCTGTTGAGCCGCTGAATAGTGGAGTCCCTGAGGTCCCCTTTGTGGCCCCAGATCTCTGATAATGACCTCTGTCTGGCCATGATAGCAGTAGACAGGTATTGGCAGGCTGACTGACCACTTGTCAGTGAGGTGTCAATAATTGGGCTGTGTGTTAGTAAAATGTAACCTAATGGCCTCTAAACTACCCAGACAGGAGTGTGTTAACTTTAAATACACTTAGCTGGGAGTACAAAAGTCATTTAATTTAATTATTAAAAACCAGAGGAGCCCAAAAGCATACGAAGACTTGCATACAGTATTAATAACTGATTAATTCTGCATTAACTACATTGGCCAGAGGCTATTGAGACACATTTATTTATATAAATGCTCGCACATACACAAACAACCCCTCCCCGTCTCTCCTTTCTGACTTAACTGACAGTTCTTGATGATCTCCACCAAACACACCCTCTTATATTACATGCAACACAATCCACCCTCACTCACTAATTTGTTTTCTTTTGCCCCTTTTCTGTGTCGATGTGTAACTGAGCCCTTGAATACATACAAATTTAATATCGCTAATAGAATCATTATCAAATTCAGATCAATACAAATTTAGCCCCGGTGCCCATAAAAGGCAGCGATATTGAAATACAACCCTGTCTGTGCTCTTTCATTCTTCCGTCGACAACGGACGCTCGCTGCCATCAGACATGAATTACCAGACAGGCGCATTACAGCTAATAAGAGTCACACAAAACAGCCTTTATTAATGCATGAGAGAGTCTTTGATCCTGGAGAAAGTTTCATCGGGAAAAGCAGTAAGTAATCACTGTAGCTCAGACAACACAATGAGATGCTTCCTATTACCTTCAGAGAGTCAACAATGTGGCTGAGGTCAAATCAACCAGAGCCGGTACAACATGTCACCACAGAGCTGCTGGATGTACTGTAGCTCAGCCTAACAAAGCACCAGGATAATCATAATGTTGTCATTTTTCCCCTCAAGTAAACACATTATAATCTAACGCTGGATCAGTCTACTTTGAGACCTGAAAACATGCAGAAATGACTCATCTGTAATGGTTTACAATCAAGATCTTTAAATTGACTTTGCCCTGATAAATATGAAATCTCTTTTGCAGCAAAGTTCATGTCAGATTGACCGACAACAGTTTCTGAATTCCTAATGTGAAATTCAACAAGAGTCTCCACTGATACCTTAACGTTTGAATGCTATGATCATTTCACAGGAGACAGACACTTAAAGCTCCACTCCGATTGTTTGTTTATTTTTTTGTGTTTTAAGTGTTTTCAGTACTCTTGAGACTACATTTACACTTGCCCAGCTATTTTCATAAACTGACATTTCACCCTCTCCCTTTACAAAAAAAAATTGTGTGCACACCACTATGTTTTCAGAAAAGTTTTCGTTTACACTAAACCGCGTGTATTTGCCGTAAAGAGCATGCCAAACCTGTAGGTGGCAGTGTAGCGAGAAGCTACATAGCAGCAGCAACAAGAACAACAACAACAACCACCTCCCTTCCTTCTTTCCTGCGCACAATCTGCCGTTGGCTACCCAAATCTCAGTTTTTCTGTTTACATGTAAACGTGCAAATGGAATTTTCCAAAATCGCCACTCTGGCTGAAGTTTTTAAAAAGCATCGTTTTCAGGGGCGACTTCTCTGTTTGCATCTAAACAAAGGGTGCAAATGATGGTTAATGTCTCCATTTTTAAAAATAACCAGGTATGTATAAACAGGGCCTTAAATCCTGATTATGAAGTTTTTAGCCAAAGTTGCGTTACCTGTGTCATTTTCAAGGGCTTTTCTATTGCAGAGCTCTGGTAGATCATTAGCAATTTGCTTCTGAGTCGTGGGCAGAGAAAGCACTGCTAGCTTGCAGCCTAGCATTGCCAGTGTAGTAGAAGTAGCAGGTAAAATAGGATCTATTCAGCTCTTGGACACTAATGTCTTTGGGGACATGATGAAAGTTAATATCATAGTTAGCTTTGCAATTAGCTAACGCACACACTTGTTCCATGACCGTCCTCTAAACTTTTCCAAGTCTGGCCTGCAAACGTGGCTCCAGGGGCGGAGCTTGAAGTTGTGACGTAGGAAATCTCACTGTGTCTGAACCTGCTGTTTGGGTCTGTGAGAGGTTCACAGCGATTTAAATGCAGAAATACTCAGAAATGCAATTTCACACTTACTTAAGATAAGATAAGATATTATTTTATTTGTCCCGCAAAAGGAAATTCCAAAATTTACAGCAGTGATAACTACAAAAGAGAAAGTAAAGAATGAAGAAACCTAAGAGTCAAAAGATATAAGATATACTGTATATGAGTGTTATTTACAGCTGTTATGTACATGTTGATATATTACGGTTTAAAATTGGAGATATTTATATGTACGACGATTTACAAAGAATAAGCATATGTGTGTAGTTTTCTCATGATACGGCCTGCAGCATCAGATAAATGCCATATGAAAATGTATAAAACATGAAAAACACGATTTTCATCCAAGTGGGTCGTTAAATTAAAACACTATTTTCTACATTGCAGTTAAATTCCTCATTTTAAATAGATAAACAAAGACCTCAGTACAAAATATGATCAAGAATATAACTTTATCAATGTACACATTACCTATCTGCCAGCTTTGCTCACAAAGTCTCTTGTAGAATTTTTTCTACATTGTTTAGCTTGATAAACTCAAGAAAAGTTAACTTTCCTGATTTAACAGAAATCAATATTCTGAGAGTCTTCTCAGTAACAGTATTAGACCCCATCACAAATGATCCATTGGAGGAAAATTTTGGTTTAACTTCTATTCCAATCATCTGGATTTTGACAGAGCCTGTCACATTATAAAGTCTGAACACAGTTACAAGAATTGCAAATGATACCTATGATTGAATGTTATTGAAGTGGTCAGCAAGTAGCTCATTCCCCACAGAAAGCCCCGGGGCCTGAAGGTGGTCAGTGGGGAGCAGCTTCACAACATCTCACTATATGGTACGATAACACAGCGAGAGGAGAGGAGGGAAAAGCAGAGGAGAGGAGGACCCCCCGTCTGAGAAATACAGGTGCCACTGCAAATTTATGGCCTGACTATTTAAGACCAGTGTAATATATTCCCAGTTCAGCCCATATCTGCTGTTTATATTCCATCTTGGCGTGTATGAGTGCTCCAAAACCTAAATAGAGTGAGAGCAGCACTCACAAACAATGTCACACGTCAAAACAATCAGTCGTTTTATTGAAAACTTCCAAGTCGAACTTGTCTTACAAACGTCAAAAGTGAAGCATGAGTCATAGTTGGATATTTTACTATCTGATTCGATCAAAACACATAAGATTTTAGTGTGGAGGAAAAAGAAAAGAACAAAAGACTAAATTTAGAGACAAATTAGAAGCAAATAAACCACATTTGAATGAAAAAATCCTTCTGAAAGTTTAATTTAAAGTTGTCTAAAAGGAAGAAGATTTGTGTTTGTCAATAAAAACTGAATATATTTGTTTTAATACAAGATATATATTTTTTTTTAATTCATGATTTTGCAAACTCAAATTAACTGAAACTGAGCATTTAAAATTAAAAAAAGATTATTCACTGCAAACAGATTGTTTTCTCCAAAGCCGCTGCACCGAGCATGAGAGATTTGGGTCTTTTGACCCCCAACTGCAAGAGCATGCTAATCAACCTAAGAGGTCAGAGGTCACGTCTGTACAGAGACGGCATCCCAAGCCGACCACAACAAATGCGGAGGAACATCTGCTCTCTGTGCGTCACACAAAGCTGTCCCCTCAGAGCCCACTCGCGGCCCTCAAGAGCCTGGGAACGTCTCAAAGTCAAGTGCAGCTTCCAGAGAACCGAACGCTGACTGGACACAGCAACAGTCTCACAAAGTAAAACTATTTGTATTTTAAAAAAGGGAGAAAACTTTTGAAGCCTGCTGTTCATCTAAAAATCCCTCAAAAGACATGATTAAAAAAAAACAGTTGCAGATTTAAAACTTGACTGAAATCACTTTTTAGGACTTTGAAAACCCCCGAATGTAGGCCCAAGATAATAAGGATAAGAATATAAGAAGAATGAAATCTTGAGAGCTGCAGGCTTTGCTGTTTTCTGAGAGGCTAACAGAGGCTGAGGCCAAGCTGCTGGGGGTCAGGGTGTGGTAACCTCTCTGAAGAAGAGTACCCTGCTTTGAATATGCATTGTACTACATCACACACGCTGCCCTGATGACACAGAGATCACCCCTGTACACTTCCACTCTCTTTCCTTGGCAGCTGAACAATATGCTTGAAAGGAACCGTCAAATGATGTCAATAGTTGGATCAATACCCTGGGATGTCTCTGTTTCCCCTGCAGCAAATGAAGAGCATTAAACAGATCCTCCTGGGCAGAGCTCTTACACACTTCCAGGAGCTACAGTACGGACTGAGGGACAGCTGATGTATGTCTCCTCCTCGCAGACATCGCCACATGCTCGCCACATTTCCCCCTGTCTGTCTAATGTGCTGCTGATCTACACCTGCTGGGCCCGGGGCTGCATAGGTATACGCTGTACGCTGACGGCATCCATCACTCAGCAGGTCTTATTATTGCCATTTAAAATACATTTAAAACGACTCGCTGGAGCCACTGTCCAACTCGGCATGGATGCAATGATACTGATGCGTTGGTGTGAGGAATGCTTCACAGCGGCAACTCGGTTGGAAACTTTATTGGCTTATTCTTGATGAAGTTGCTGCGATTAAAAGACTTGCGCTCATTTACGGAGACAGAAAATAAAGCAAAAAGCCGCCTTTTCTTGAAGCTAAGCTCAGATTTACACTCGCAGACAAATATTCTGAAATGGCCGAAAAAAAGCTCAGGTTCCAAAATGATTTTAAGCTACAGTGTGGGGCTTTCGGTTTGGGTTCATTTGGTACCCACTGTGGCCAAAGCAGTACGTCTTATCTCTTTGCTGATGTTGTCATGTGGATGGAGTTTTTTCACAAAAAAATCTGCTGTGGGAGTTGCAAAAAAAAAAAAAACAGGCTGTTCTGGTAGCGCACATTTGATCAATTCAACTGACATTAAACATTAGAAATATAACCCCACTGTTTCCCCTACAAAGACTTTACTTAGGCTTTACAAGAAGATTGCCATCTGCCCAAGAAGATAAAAATTGAATTAAATATATAAAATAAAAAATAAATGCACAGTCATACAGACACAGACAGCAGGGTTTTGTCCTGACAAATGCGAAACAGTGCAGGACACGCTTGTGAATATACAGAAGCGCACCCAAACTGTTGCACTTCGGCTTTCCAGAGTGGTAGAGATTGTTTTTCAGACGCGGCGCAGCACGAGACACACAAGTGGATATACGGAAGCACACCCAAACCGTTGTGCTCTGGCTTTCTGGAGTAGTAGCGATTGTTTTTAAAGTAAACAAAAGCAGCGTAGCGCAGGACCCACTAGTGAATATACGGAAGCGCACCCAAACCGTTGCGCTCCGACTACACTAACTTAATGTTGATTATATACCGTTTTCTTCCTCGTACTGTTTCTGTTATTGTACCACAGGTTTTGTCTCCGAGATTGTGACTTTTTCTTCTTCAAGACATGAAGCCAATTGAAAGCTATTTTTTTTCATTTGGATTGTTTGTTAACAAAGCAACAGTCTGCAGCAGTCTAACCTAAACAAACGCCATGTGCCAAAAAAAAGGTTCTCATTGGTCAGTGTAATGATAGTGCACTGTCTACCTTTATCATTTTGTTGATGCACATTGTAATTTCTACATTTATTATCTATTTATCAGTAAAATGGTGAAAATGAGAGGAAATGTGAATTATTTGCTCTTGCTAGTCAAGTTACAGTGTGCAACTCTAAATATTTTGCTTGCGCTCCTATAATTTTTAGTTAGGGGTTACTGTGATCTTGTCTTAACTAGTCTGGAGCCCTGTATGTGTAGTAAATAACTTATAGTTCATAAACCTTAGTGACTTGACTGGATATTTTCAATGCACTTATCAAACACCACGGCACCACCCTTCACCGCCTGGCCCACCACCACAAGTAAATTATCAACCTACAGGGGAAACACTGAACTGTATAGAGATAATATCGTGTTTATGGTCTCCTGTGCTTTTGAGGGTCATAAAGAGGAATCACTTTTCATTTTGGTTTTTGTCACAGTTAAAAACTCCTAAAATGAGCTTTAGATACTAAAAAAAAACTATTCCAGAACAAATAAACTTCAGCAAAGTACAAAAACTACACCCTTGCAGTTCAAGTGCTGCAAATACATAAATATCCCACAATCATGCACACGCAACTTCAGAAAACAAGCATGGAAATCTTTCTGGCCTTTGAAAAGCATTTGCCCTTGTCAGCCACCGTAGAGTTCCTTTACTTCAAATGATGCCAGCCCATCCTAGCAGCATCTCAGCCTCATTGTGGAGTAATCTGTGAGACAGGACTGAGTTTCGGAGGACTGATACATGCTCCCGAGCTCTCAGGTGAGCTTCGTAATAGACAGAGTCACTTTAATTCCCCTTCAATTCTCACCTAAAATTGAAAGCTGCCAAATGCTGCCTTAATTACACACCATCCAATCAGAGCTTAAGTGTAACCTTCTGCCCCACTCCCCACTCCTCCTACACCCTCCACTCTCCTCTCTCCTTCTGTGGGAGAAGAGTGAATGAATGAAGTACGTCCCTCCTGAGGTCTCCACATATTTCACGGCGGGTGTAAACGGGTCTGGAGGATACGGGGATGGATATATTATGTATAGAGGAAGCAAGTGTGAGATTTAAGGAGCTAGCTGCTTGGTCAGCACAGAGACTGCTGAAAATGCAAACAGATCAAGGAACAAGCAGGGTTATGGATCTCTCCTTGTGTGTAACCGGGCAAGGTCTATTGACCCAAATTTAATTATTTTATCCTCCACCCGTTCCCCTCTGTATCCCCTTTAGATCTGATCCTGTATTTGTACATACAAACATCATCTTTACTTAACAAGTATGCGATATCTGGTGGTGCTGTGGTCTTCAACAGTGCTAAAAATTCCTCATACACGCAGACATTCAGGAAAACATTTCTGATTTATGGCCCTGAAATCAAGTACGCCATGTTTAAAAGGTTTAAAAGGCCTTTTTGTGCAACTGTGGTGTTAAGGATTTGCTTTTTTTCCCCCCCTGTTTTTCTTACAGCAATTTCCATCCACAGTAAACTAAAGGCATCTCCTCTGGGCGATCGGATAAACCAGGGAAGTCTGAAGGCAACCACAGTAGACGCGCAGCTATTTTCCATCCTCTCTAATCACATGATCAGGGTGTCGGCACCACATCCTACATGCGGGGAGGGGCCAAGCAGCGCACAGCTTACCACCATTTTGTGTGGGGTACCTGGTTCCTTTTGTGTGAGTACCTGGCTCATTTGTTTACCTGCATAAGTGCTGATATATCTCGGAGCGGATCCAGATGTGTGATCGGAGACATTTTTTTTTTTGGAAGGGGTTAATGCATGATGGGCACCTTGTTGATGCAGCGTGAGCAGATGCTGCAGACAAAAACATCACAGAGTCTGAGCGCGCCCCGGCTGCAGCCCATTCTGAATTTCATGTCGTGTATTTTTCCTCTTCTCTCCTTCCTTGCTCCTGGCTGTGCTCCCGACAGACCCCTCTCCTCCCTGCCATCCGATGTGTGAGGCACATATGGTGCAGCGAAATTGCTGTCTGCGAGAGCATGCCTCTGCCTGTCCAGACTTCATCAGAGGGATTAAAGAATGGGATGGGGGTAAAAAAAAAAAAAATCAAAATAAAATGATGATAGCAGGGCTGTGTTTTTTTTTCCTGTTTTTTTTTTTTTCCCTCCACTCCCTGCTCTGTTTTAAGTAGAGTGGAACATCAGATGACAGAGGAGGCTCTCTTGCTGGGGTGCGATGGTTTGCAGGGAAAAGGTTGCCCGGTCGGTGAGCCGCACTGGGTTTATTTGGCTCTGACAAGGGCTCACTACAAAGGAAAAACCAAATTACAGACAGTACTGTTCCTCCCTTGATCCAGCCCCTGAAGTTCACTTACAAGCTGCATCCAATTAAAAGAAAAAGTGACTCAGAAGTGCAGCAGAAGCTTTCGTTTATGATTACTTAGCCATTCTTCTCTCATGTGTCCTCTTTTTTATAAGGAACATAAATAAACAAAAGGACTAAATTTGTTGCAGGAGGCGGAAAAGAAGAGGAGATGTGTGTGCTGAGGCGGGGTGTTGTATTTTTAGAGTTAGGGATTTGGAGGGCAAAGGAAAAGAGAGAGGAGGAAGATTGCAGGATATTAAGGAGTAATGGATGTCACACCAGGACCCATTAAAAAAAGAAAAGAAAAAAAAAAACAACAAGCTTTTGCTTTTTTCATCATGGCTCAATATGAGACCGATAGAGGGTAAAGGTCATTACATGGTTTCCTATTATTACAGAGAAAAGTAAATAGTCATAGGTATGTTTATTAGATACAACTAAGATCAATCAAAAAAGTGAAAACTGTCCAAGATGAATTAAAATGATACAGATATCAAGAAAAGAAATCAAGAAATCTCAATAAAAGAGTGGAAAATAAGGGTGAGAATCACTAGTGGCCCCACGATACGATATTATCACGATACGATATCTGTGATTTTTAACATTTTGCAATACAGTGAGTATTGAGATACAATATATTGCAATTTATACAATTTTTTAACTGTTTAGCTAATTGAGTTTTTGTCTTTTCTTTATGTTTGTCTTATTTACACTGTATTTTATTTTCATGCAGCACATCTTGCAAACCTCATATATAGATATATTTGTTGTACTAACTTTCTCCTGCCAACCTCACTGGACAAACATTTGATTTTATTTTTCCATTATCACAGATTTGACTTCATATTAACAATTAATCTGAAAAATTTGATATTTGGTGAATGAAACGATACAATAGATCACCAGACAAAATATCGCACTACTATGTTTGATCAATTTTTTCTCCAACTCAAGTAGAAAAATTCTTGCTAAATAAATTTTTTTTACAGAGCAATCCAAACCAGAAGCTTAAAGAAATCTTAGACAATTCAATGAAGATGTATGATGGATCTCCAAGTGTGCATGCAGATGTGGTTTCACAGTGATCCTTCTAAATTCGACCGAATAGGGAGATATTCGGAGGTTTATTCTGGGATTTGCCAGACAGCAGCTCTGCCCCTGTATTTGAGACAACAAAAAGGCAATCTTGACATTTTGCCCAACCAGTAGATAATATTTGCTGTTCAGAGACTGGCTTTCTTTTGTTCCACGTTGTTATAAACCCAAGACACTTGAAATTTAAACCCAGTTCAAGAAATATTATTTGCCACAGGGCAAGGTAAATCTCTTGGCGGGGCTTTTCAAAGGGTTGCCCTGGGTTTGTTTACAATTGATCTTATTTAAAAGTGGATTTTTTGTTTTACTTTTCAAAGACATACTTTCTGGCATGATCTCTTAGGTCAAAGGAAAGATGAATGTTATTTTTCCAATTGGCAGAAAAAAAAAAGCAAGAAAGAAAAAAAGGGGGGGAAATAATCAGAAGGCAATAATACAGAAAGCCCTGTTGCGCCACTGGTTTTTCCCAGGTCTCGAACTTGCACATGTAAAACAGAAAACACATGCAAGATAACATCTCAGAGTGCAGCACAGAAAGTTAGAGGATACACCCCTGGTGAGAGAACAAATAAACTAAATCTAAACTGTCTGAATTTCTGAAGAAAAATACTGAAACATGAGTCGCATCATGAAATACAGTAGGAAAAAGAATTGAATCACGCCACTTGTGTGTGTGTGTGTGTGTGTGTGTGTGTGTGTGTGTGTGTGTGTGTGTGTGTGTGTGTGTGTGTGTGTGTGTGTGTGTGTGTGTGTGTGTGTGTCCTGGATTGCTGGGTCCAAATGTAAACAAAATAAAAATAAAAACCTGTGAGTTAAGTGTATAAAACAGCAGATTCCCTTCTTGTTTGGGGAAGCAGTCTACAATTTTCATTCACCCTGAGGATCTTCAGAGGGAACAACTGACCCAACAACTGACCAATCACAACAAAGCAAAGAGGCTAGTGTGTGTGTGTGTGTGTGTGTGTGTGTGTGTCTGTTTGTGTGTGTGTTGGAGGGGTGGGGGGTTAGAGAGAAAATAGAGCAAAAGAAGAGGGGTCAACGCCGCCCCTTTGCCTGCCCTCTTGAACCAAACTCCTTCATCTTTGACATTTATTCTGTTTTAACTAAATCAGTGCTGTGAGCTCAGCCAATCAATCACTATTGATCCCCACTCTGATCATGAACTTGAACATGTTTCGGTTTACTCAAACTTGACCAGGGAGGGGGGGAGCTACAGTGGGCAGGCAGGGCTGTGATAGAGGTGGAGAGGGGACAGGGACTGAAGTTAAGTGGGGACTATCCTCCTGGGCTGGGCGGGTTCGTCTCCTGCTCAGAAAGGCCGACCTGGAAAGAGGAGGAGGAAGAGGAAGAGGAGGAGGAGGTCACAGGCTACAGAGTGAGTTTAAGGCTCACAGCTCCCGGGGAACAAGACGGACAAGCAGAGGGCACAGCAGCGGGGACGGCCCAGTAAAAGACCCCTTCATCTGGACTACACCTGGGGGAGCCTATGGGCCACCCAGATAGACGGCACACAGCCCAGCTGCGACATCACACACACCCACAGGGAACACCGTCCTCAGAGTTGTAAATCTGGATCTACAGCAGAGTGTGTGGACGAAATACTGGACCCTGTCACCTGGTAGAAGTTAAGAGTGAATTAATACTCTGAGTGTCTTAGAAGGAGAGAAGAAAGAAGGCAGTAAAAGTTGATCGAACTCACTCTCTTTTATTGGTATATAAAATTGTTTCTTTTTTACACAGAGGCCAATTTTATTCACGGTAAAACTTGAAGCTTTTGTCTCTCTCTGCTCATAAAATCTAATTCACTTATTAAAATATTAAATAATTACTGTTAAATATTTAAAACATCCTTCTCTAAAGCCTGATATTTGACAAATAACAACAAATACCTTCCAGAAGTTTTATACAACGTGTTCATCTAGATTAATTTACCATTATAAATATCCAAGTGTGTTTCTGTTTACTGCAATGACTTACAATAGTTTTTATAAATCACATATTTTAAGCCAATAAAATTTAACATTAAACCTTAACTTTAAGAAAAGATAGAGGAAGCAGTGCAGCACAACACTCAGTTTTTAAAAGGGCCCAGGCCGCAGCTAACATTTTAAATTACATCTCTGTCCATTGTGTCGCGCTCCAGCTTACGAGACAGTCTCAGGGGTTCCTTCATTTTCCCACAAACCCCCTCCAAGGCTCTTCAGGTTAACATGCCCTGTTTGACTATTAGATCAATAGTTGTAAATGACTTCATTGCACCAAAGAGGAAACTTTCTGGACAAGAATTGGTCCCACGGTTGCAAACTTGTCGAGCTCGTGTTATTGTTGTTGTGGAGAAGTTCTGGTCACTTCCCGTTTTCCCAAATAATGTCACACGAAATAAAAGATTCGACTTGCGGTTAAATTTCTCAAGTTTTTCTGAGGCAAAAATATGTTTTAAGGATTTCGACAACTTCCAAAAAAAAAAAAAAAATGCTTCTGATGGAAGTTTAGTAAGCGAAAGAGTAAGCGTTGTACTGAGCTACAGTCGCTGTGGCGAGGGGTGAAAATCCCCACTGATATGGCACAGCCTCTCTGCACCTCTTTTGTTCCTCCGAGATGCGGGGTGATGTCAGTTCACTCCTATGGCTTCCTAAAATGCCCCAAAGCCTGGTCAGCTCCTGAGTGGGAGTGTGTAATCGGTCCTGGCAGAGTGCTGGTTAATGGGGGGCACAGGGCTATGGGTTGGAGATGTATTCATGTGCGTGGCGTGGCGCCTGGACCCAGGGTGACACTTCTTCATTCCCGCTGCCTCGGGCCAGGATTAGGACCACGGCCAGCCTCACAAAGCCGGCCGTAATGCAAAATCATTTTCATATTAACCTCGTCTCTCCTCTCTAGGCCTGACAGTGGACAGGCCTGCGCTCTTTGGTGCTCAAATTATCCTCAATTACTGAGGAAAGGCCAGGCAAGGGGGACGTCACCTAACCTTCACCATCTGTTAGGTTCAAAGCGTTAGCAGTCGGCCAGCCCGCCTGTCTCCTGCCTCCCCTGACCTTTCTGCCTCGGCCAGCTCCTGCTCCATACGCAGTACAACTCCCCCTGCCCCCCCCCCCCCCCCATCCCCCACTTTAGACCCGCCCTCTCTGGACACAGCTGGGAAGTGCATGGGCACACATCACATTAAGGGGGAAAAGGTTATGTCACGCTTCTTCAACAACGGAGAGATATGAATATTCAAAAGTGTGCACAGACTTTGGTCAAAGGCACAGGTTAAGTCAGTCTCAGACGGATAAGCCTTTATATATTTGAAATGAATCCTGATTTAATTGGTGATGAAATTCATAATTTTATTGAGGGGGTTTGAAAATGAAATATTCTTTGTTAATTGTTTCATTTGTGTAAAAAAAAACTGGAGGATTTTACTGGAAAAAAACATTTAAATATTCAGATTTTATGATTAACAACTGTGAAGCTTAATTTAGTTTGAAATATAATAAATTTTTGTCTATATTTTTGTAAGAAAAATCAGAAAATAAGTTTGAATATTCAGGTTTTGCTTGTATAATAAAATTTGGGTTTTTTTCATAGACCGGATTAAAATCTGTTTCCTTGTTTTGTGCTTTTATTGAGTTTCCTCTTACCTCCACGACAAAAGTTGTCTTTAATTAAACATTCATCTATATTTGAGATTGTGCTTCTGAAATATTGAAGAGCTCTTATTTCTCTTATAGTGAATGCACCTCTTAATAATGCAGACAGTGTTTTCTGTTTGTTTGGAGCCCGTGTGTTTTAGCAGCTCCACTGTGTCCATTTGGATTTTCCAGTCTGTCTGGCCACTCAGGACCCCCCCCCCCCTTTTTTTTCTCAGGTCATCTGGCAGGACCTGATGGCTCTGAAATAACTTTTAATAAGTCTGATAAATAATAGATGGACTGTTGGCTAAAATCGAGCCCGGAGCAGCAGTGCTGAGGACAGGAGACAACAACCAGGTCCCAGTCACTTCCTTCACCATCATCATCATCATCAGCAGCAGCAGGAGGAACAGCAGCCATGTTCAGTCTCTGTCTCACCTCCTCTCCAGACACAGACTCAGCGGGGTCAGGGGTCGTGGACTTGACCTTGTGGCCCCCAGGAGAATGTTCACTTGGTTCGGGGTATAATATGAGATTTATTCAGCAGGAGCCCCCGTCTCATGCAGCATTATGCCTCATTATCCTCGGGGTCCTGTGTGTTCGCAGGGGCAGACGCATCAACACTCCATTTCACTTACACCTTTATAATCCCACAATCAATACCTCCGACTGACAACCAGAGATGTTTAAATACATCTTAACTATCCTGGACTCGAAATCCTTACAGCTCAAAATCTACTTTACAATTCAAAATTTTAAAAAATATATTTTAAAAAATGCAGATTTTTCTTTTTGTGCAATTGTTTGAATGCAAAATTAAATTACCAAAAATAAAAAATATATATATTTGGTTCAAATATTCAGATTTTAAAAGCAAAAAATTTAGATTAATTCCATTCACAAATTTTTGGATTTGCTTTAATTTAATTTCTTTTTTAACTCTTAAATTTCAACTGGAGTCGTTGACAAAATGGTGCATTTTATTAAATATATCAATTCAGGTTTTTTACAGAAATTTTAAAGTAAATGTGTATGAAACAGGCATCAAATTCAACGTAAAAAATATGCTTATGCAAGGCAAAAAAATTACATGCAAGGCCTAAATGAAAGCAGGCTTTGCAAATTTTCCTCACTTCCAGTCTAAAAAGGAGTGATATCTTTCAGAGGCAGGGTAAAAAAGAGTGATCATTTCCATTATGTGTGCTTCACTCTAAGTGGGTCCCTGTGGAGGACAATTTTAGGAGAGATCTTCCCTGATAAGAAACAAGCCCTGCATGCATTAATATTACATTAGAGGCAGCATCACAGAGCCATCTGCTCAGTCAGGTACAGAGCTTTTCATTGACATCTCCTTATCATGTTAATATTACGCTCATCAAAGACGGCGACACGGTGGAGACGGAGGGATGGGTGGGGGGGGGGGCGCTACAAAACGTGCAAAATTACGGATTATTCTTATGAGAAGTCTAAAAGCGGGGGGAACAGACAATAACGTGGTTATTTAGGTCACATATTCGCTATAATGCACAAGAAAGAGACAAATGCCGCAGGAAAGGCGTCGGTTGCGTGTGTGAGAGTGTGTGTGTCTCGGTCGCGAATATGACATGCATGGCCAGTCACACACAAACACACACACACACACACACTCTCTCTCTCACACACACACACACACACACACACACACACACACACACACACACACACATAGAGAGAGGGAGCGAGTCCTCATTGCTAGCAGCAGGAGGGGAGAAAATCTGCAGCAAGAGGGAGACAGGTGCAGGGCTGCAGCTTAAATGCATCTAAAGTCCATTCTTGACACACACACACACACACACACACACACACACACACACACACACACACACAGAGAGAGAGAGAGAGAGAGAGAGAGAGATTATTCTTGTGTGCGCTTTTTTGCGCGTAATTGTTGTGGTTTGATTTAGACAAAAAAATGTAAAAATTCAAGAAAAAGGAGAAAAGAGTGGATGGGATATCATTTATGTGACATCTTTTTTCGTGTGTGTGTGTGTGTGTGTGTGTGTGTGTGTGTGTGTGTGTGTGTGTGTGTGTGTGTTTAGGGTTATGTTTCGGGCACGGTGCCATCCTCGCGCAGAATTAACCAAATCTCGCCCCCTTCAAACACGTGTCAGGTTAACAAAAGGCGGAGCAGGCAGATGGGGAGGGGGGACATAGAGATAGAGAGAGAGAGAGAGAGGGAGAGGGAGAGGCGGACGCGTGCTTGTTTCCGTGCCAAAACTTTGTCACTCTCATTTGAATGTGAATGGTATTTAACAGTGAGAGCTGCTGCTTACAAGGACCTGCTGTCTACAACACACACAATCTCGTCCTCTGAAGGATTTTCAATTAGCGACCCCCTCCTCCCCCTCCCTCTTTTTAGCTGCTAATCGGGGCTAATTAGGCTTTATCGCGGGGTAATAGCTTGTATTAATTGCCTCGCGGGCCAACTGTTAAGGAATGCGGCGCGTGATCGGATCAGATGTGACAAGTTTATTCCGCCGATTTAATATTCATTATATTCTAATAGGACACCTGTTTGAAGGGATACACGACAATTAAGGCCATCAGTTCGAGCAACAGGCCCATGTTTGATTTCTGAGATGTAAAAATCTGAAATTCTAAATTTGTTTTATTCCTAAACTCACATTTATGTTTCATTTATTCCGATTTTCGATCGGAGACACAGATCGGGATAATTTAGAGGAAAGGCCCTTTGTTTATGTTTTAGAAAAAGATTAAAACCCTTTTTCTTTTAGCTCAATGCAAACAGAAATCCTCTCTTATTAGCTGATAAAATCCAAAATCCACCCTTTCTTGAATTATTTGTTGACGCAGAAGCCAGCAAACAAATCCTATTTTGGAGCTGTCACAATCAGACATGTTTCACCCACCTGAGTTTGTTTTCAAGTTCCCCTCACTGAACATCATTTATTTATCCATCCCTCACCTTCGTCTTTAACTGCATCTCCTGTTCCTCCAAAGAAAGAAATAATAATGTTTATTTAGGCCTCCTTATTAAGAGACTAACCTTCAGTCACTCAGACACCAAAGGGATCTCAAACATGACTTCATGGTTTTACGCGTGAGCTGACATATCATATAAATGCTACAGAGGATGGGATCTGTAGTCTTACACGGACCAAATTGATGTCGAGCTAAAATAGAAACCTCAGACATCAATGCAGGATGTAAATGGATCTACTCACGAGGAGGTTTGATCATTAATCAATTAACATTTGTGAAACTAAATAGTCCGTGTAAGAGGAAAAAGCAGACGAGCCATCAGTGCGATATTTAGGGGGGAAAAACGCGAAATAATTAATTATTGTGGCGTGTTTCTATTTATATGGGTTACAGTAAGCTCTCTGTGCCATCCTATCCCCGAAAGGAAGGGCAAACAAGGGCCTGAGAGTGAGTGAGAGTGAATGTGAGGAAGGGTGGGGAGAAAGTCATCCTAAAATAAGCCCCCCATTTGATTCTTCTTACACTCCAGGTCTCCTCATTCTGGGTGGAATATTTCACAGGCCCCAACAGCAGAAAGAAACCATCATCATCTTCAGGAGCAGCAGCATCATCATCAGGAGCAGGCTGACTGTGTGGCGTCAATGTGAGGCCTTTCATTTCAGCCGGACATTTTAGAAATAAAAGCTCTGCTACTGAAGAGACAATGACTTTGGATTGTAAATGAATTCAAACTGGACCTCTCTTATTGGACACACCTCTGTCACTTCTGCAGGACACTGTCTAAACCAGACAGATTTACGTCAAAAAAAAAACACACACACACACACACATATATAAATATATAAATAAAACAGGCTATAAAGAAAAAAAAAGGTGTCATAAAAATATTCAAGATCCAGAGTCAGTCAGCCTCTCTCTCTCTTTCTCTCTCTCTCTCTCTCTGGGTGTCACAGCAGTCACATGAAGGCATATGGCTCCCAGCTGACCCCCCCTCCCCCCGCATCCGAGACCCCCACCCAACCAGCCCCCCCTCCGTGAAGTTCAAGGTCTCTTCTGTAGCCAGTGACCATTAACAGAGCCGCGAGGACACCGAGAGCAGCGCGTGCTGTCCACATGCCTCTGTCACGAACAGGCCACTTCGCGAGGAAAAGATAATTACAAACGTGTAATTATCAAATTAGTCATATCGTTTTGAGTTTTTTCTTAATAATCAATTAAGCTTAATTTGACCTTAATTGTTCACATTTAATAAGACATTGGAGAAGTTTGTTTTGATTTCTTGATTAAAATTAACTGATATTCATCGTTGCTGAGGTAATAAACATGTGTAAACAATTAGAATTAAAATGAATTTTAAGAAAATGTTACAGAAACTGACATTTTTATTCTACAATCTGTGTTTGTAGAATTAAATGTTCGGTTTGCTCTAATTAAAAATGTCGTTTTTTTGATCGCTGGTCGTTTAAATGGTTGACCAGAAAATCAACGACTTTAAAATTTCAGAGCAGAAAAGTTCAAAAACTTGAACTTTAACGTTTTTTTTTTTTTGTGAGTAGAGAAATAAAAATTCACCCAAACAACATTTACATGTACATTTATTATTTATTCTTTCAAATTTGATTTTAAAGTGTGAAAATTTCGGAGACTACAGGGGTGAGAAACACCAGTTGCTCTAAATGGTTTTACCTAATTAACCTAATTTTTAATCTAAGATTATTTGTTATATAAAGCCTAGCCTGCAGGATTCATGCATCTTCATTTTTTAAACATGTTTAGTTCATATTTATCTTTTTTAGCAGTTAAGAAAAGATTTACTTTGATCAGCTGTGATTTTTCTCACACAGCTGATTATGCTTTATCTATAGAGGCCTAAACATGGGCTGATCTGCACATTTTCCAAAGTCATGTGGTTTCAGGACACAACATGAAGGGTGTCTGGCTCTCAGAAATAAACAAGAAATTCAAGTATGTATTACTTATAAATATTTATCTAATCTATTTCATATCTAACAGGGAAAAAAATGTCATTAATAATTAAAAAAAGATTTGGGTTTGTAAAATTAAATGAGGAGTAATTTATAAAATGTGTTTGGATATTTAAAAAGGAATATTACAGTCTTATCCTCCCCGTAAAAGCTTAAGTGTCTCATGTTGTCTCTGGAAAATGTAAACATGTATGAAAGAAGAGACACTGAAGAGCTTCTCAAACTTTTTCTGGTCAAGCTCAAACCACAATAACTAAAAGGAATTAAAAAATAAAGAAGAAGAAGAAAAAGAGCTGGGGGATGGAAGTGGACCAAAAAAAGGCGAGGGCTAAGACAAAGAAGAAGAAGAAGAAGAGGAGGATGAAGAAAATATGAGATGGATGATCGCTGGTCCCAGGTGTCTACAATGACATCACAACAGGAGACATCCTGCATCTGCAGGCTGCAACAGATCCTGTTTCCTCAGACCGGCTCTTGATGAGAGACAGGTCATGGCCAATAGCCTCTGCATGACACGTAATTGGTGGTATTGATTATAGGTTATCATAATGCTGCAGGCCATTTGGAGGGAAACGCCACAGGGGTTAACTTGTCGTCCATTAACCTCTTGGACTGGCGTGTAAATTAAGTTTACATTAACTTCTCATATAGGCTCATGTGATACTGCAGTGCACTCAGCATGGCGAGTCAAGGTGGAAACCAAAAGTTCTTAAAAAAGACCCGAATCAAAGCTTTCAGAGCAAAAACCAACAAGGAACGCTTTCGCTGACCATTTGGAAAAAATATCCCATCATCTAAAAATGAAAGTGACATTTACAGGAAACACCTTTTTCCTCCTTCCTCCTCCAGACCTGAGAAGTAGCTGCTGGCCTACAGGAATCTCAGAGCTGATGCAGTCTGTCAATCCCAAGTAATGGGCAGGTGTAAACTTTGAAATAACACATCACTCTGAAGGGAAACCAAAGCATCCGACTCATATCAGTTTTATATTCTGCCTCTTAAATCTTGACTATAACATAATGCACAGATTTGTGTTCACAGGCATCATTAATATCAGAGAAGACAAAAATAAAGAAATTTGTTTGAGAGTTTGGGAAATAAAAAGTGAATGTGGGTTTTTTTTCACGATTCACGATTAAAGCTTTTAAGAAAATGAAGAGGAGGAGTACCACCTGCCTACTTCTTGCTTATTTTCATGTATTCGTTATTTAAAGAAGAAAAAAAAAGAAAAAAGTAGAAACATTTCAGAAAGCACCTGAGGGTACAAAAACTCACAATGTTGCAAAGCAGTCCAACAGTTAAACTGCTTCAGGATCATCACACAGTTTGCCACATATTTTGGTTTTTATCTCAGCAAGGAATAACACTTCAAATACACAAAATCACAGAAAAAGAGGAACGCTGTAACCTTTGAGAAAGTCGATCAGAGGCGATCAGAGGTGCAGAAGCACCTAGTACAGCCCAGAGCAGTAAAGACAGCCCACTTCAACTTGAAAAACATGACATTTGCCACCTCAGAGCAGAAAACGTGTCTCTCTAACTGTACACCTGTAAACCTGCAAACCCACACAATGGAGATCAAAAAGGGAAAGAAAGCTCGTTTCACTGCAGCAAATACTATTAAAAGTTACCCAGTAATGGGCGTGCATGCATGCTGTGTACTGTGTGTGTGTGTACAAGTGAGAGTGAGAGAGAGAGAGAGAGACAGAGGGAGGGGGGAGAGAGAGAGAGAGTGTATGTGTGTGTGTGAAAAAGTGAAAGCATGAGTGAGAGCCGGTCAGCAGATCAGTCAGTCAGCAAAGTGAAAGAGAGAGCAGGGCAGCATGGGTACCTGTGTGCAGCAGTCCGGTGGCGGGATCAGCCCTCCAGCTTGGCATGCATTAATTATCCTCCAGGAAGGAAAAAAAAAAAGATGGCCACTCGATAGGCTCGCTCCCTGACCTGGCACTCCTCCTCCTACTGTCCCACAGTCGGAGGAAAGGATGGATGGAGAGGAGCAGGAGAGAAAGCGGAAGACGAGGACAGAGAGAGGGAGAGGAAGAGAGAGAGAGAGGGAGAGAGAGAGAGAGAGAGAGTCAGATCCACTGCTGCCCTGACACCATGACTGGTCCACGTGAGATTGATCACACACACACTTGCAATGACACACACACACACGGATGCACACACACTGAGGCCTCTGCAGTGACGGGGGGGGGACCGCCAAGGTTTAGCATGCTTTGTTTAGCCCGGGGACGCGCATACATACACACACACACACACACACACAAACACACACGCGTGCATGCACAGTTGCAACACACATGCATGTTTAAAAGATGCATGGACAAACTCACACACAAACACACACACTTGCACACACACACGTGGCCTTTGACTCCCACAGTGATTTAAGAGTGTGAGGCAGAATTTACTATTTTTAAAACGGTCCTTTTTCCAAATTCCAGCAAAAGTATACTCAACCCGGCGTGTGCTACTTTATTCACATCCTGTCATCCACACTATGAAAAGGATTTTCAGAAGGCCTCATTTGCATTCACTGCCCCCCCCCCTACACATCTGTTCAGTGGTCTTATGCCTGTTAGGTGGCGGGGCAGCTGAAAACGGACAGAGAAATAAAAAGGGTCAAAAGTCTGGCACTGAGAGGCAAGAGGGGCCATGATTACACACAATAGAAAATAAAAGAGATGCATATGAGCAGCAGCAGAAGAAGCAGCAGCAGCATGCCTGGCCTCTGCATCTTCAGGGAGGACAGGGTTCACACCGCTCTAATGAATGCTTGCTGCACAAACACACACACACGCACAATCCCACAACGCTTAAAAACTATTTGCAATTATTCATCAGGAGTAAAGACAGTGAAATTTAGAGCTGGATCCAAATGATTAGTTCTGAAAAAAGGCCTTTTAATTTTAGAGTTGTGCATTCAAGCTGTGTTTGTACTGTCACTCCACTTTAGGGATATTTTTTTGGAGTTAAGTCATAAATGACCACATCTACATGAAATAGTGAGATATGAGTCGTGTCAGTGATGTTGAAAATCGATTTGCGTTGCGTTAACCAAATGTAAAGGCGAGTAGTTGAGCCCTCTACTGCTTAGAAAAATCACATTTCCCAAATCAAGCATCCCCTTCAGCCATCTTCTCCTGTCACTGAACGAGGAGGGGGCTGTCAGCTGGCCTCTATATGCAGATTGATCCAGATGGACATGGCGTCCAGGCCCCCGGTCCCCCCATAGACCTTCTGGTTGAACTTGACTCTCAGAAGTACAGATGGGAGGGAGGGCCTCTCACCTTTGGTGAACCCTAACCCAACAACCTCAGCCCACCCCCATCCCTACACACCCCCCTTCACACATCCATCCCCACCCCGTGGTAGACTGCAGGCTGAGCCACCTAGCCGGTCTCCAGTATTACCAATCCATCCAGATTGAATTCAGGCCGCTCTCCCAGCAGCTATCATCACAGATATAGCTGATCAATACAGGGACATTATCACAGAACGCTTCCTCAAACACAGTGTCAACAAGCCAGGGCTGGTCGGGGAGTGTGTGTGTGTGATCACTGAGGTGGAAAGAAGCCGTGGCCGGGTGCTTACGCAGAGGAGCCTCAGAGAAGAGAACCCTTTGAGCAGAACTTGAACCCTGGGGGGCTGCAGGTCTGACTGGCTCTGGTGCTGAGCATGCTGGGCTACAACTTAAAAGGAGATCAGAGGGCTGTACCTCAGAGCAGCAAAGCCCTCTTCCTCTTCCTCCTCATCTCTTGCTCTCTAACAACACTCAGGCTGCAGATTTTTTTTACAGACCAGCATCATACGCATCAAAAACATTAAATAAAACACATAGAATGTAAGGAAAGGTAAAGCTGATTGACTTTGCTGCATTACTGACACACAGAAACATTTTGGTTTTCAGGGAAGTTTAATCTGAGCAAACAGAGGCTCTTAAGGGTGTCCCACCTTTCTCTGACCCTGCGGCCCCCGGTGCTCCAGACTGAGTTGTTGTCTTTCCTCGTTCCCTTAAGGCCTCTCCAGCCATCCTAACCTGGTTTCTGATCTACTCCTGCTCTGTATGTAATGCCGTTTTTCCCTCTCCCTGTGGTAAGTGTCTCATATATAGGCCTTATCAGAGGCCCATCTTTACCACACAGCATTTACCTCACTGGAGCCCAGCAGAGAGAAAATCTGTATCTTCATCAAACACCAGTCAGCAGAGAGAAAAAAAGCGGATTGAAGGACTGTTTTTATGAATTATTTAGATTAAAATCTTTCTCTTATTACCTATCCTTTCCTTCTGCCATTCCATTTTCTTCCCCTTTCTCTTTCTTTTTTTGGTTAAATTTTAAAACATTTATATCCCTCTGTTCCTGAGTAAACGAGCTCGGGGCCGATTTTCCATTAAAAATAAAAGTTGAAGAAGAAGAAGAGGTATGTAGCTCGGTCGGTTTTAGTTTTTAGTCATCTTTAATCAGCCGGGTGTTTCTGTGCCGAGGAAGAAAAGAGTCAGATGAAACAACAGTGAATAGATTTTCTCTCTCTCTCTCTCTCACTAGTTTTCTTCTGTCTTGGATGTTGGAAAGTTAAAAGAAGACTTTCTTACCTTTTATTATTACTGTCAGTGAGTCCTTGCTCATTCTGACTTTGTTCAGAGGTGTAAGTAATTTTCCACCTTATTAAAATAATGATGCATTAACAATGTACTTGCCATTATCTTAGGTCAGGTATTTTCAATGGTGGATTCACAGCTGAGAGGCTAAGCATTTCTTTAGAAGATAGTCGAGCTGAATCAAAAAAGACTGGCCTTACCCAGACTGATCTCTTTATTAGAGCTCGCTCTCTTTTTTTACATACTTAGTGGTTAAAATTGAGTTTATTCATTAGGAAAAAATGCATGAGCTAAGCACGTGGACTTGTTTTAAAAAAGGAGTGATGGTTAAAACGTATTATTTGATAAAGATGTCGGAGAAGAAAAGTTAGCGAGAGTTACAAATCTGTTTAAGCTATTCAGACATTTTAAAGCAATAAAACAACCTTTGCCCTCTTTATAGAGAGATGTATTTAATTGTCATAATATTTTGTTCCAAAGTGAGGAGAGACAAACTCAAGGTTTGTGTCAAAACTGAGCGAATTTAACCCGACATGAACCGAACAATAGAAACAAAGAAGCCACAGACCATTATTCAGGAAGACGACCTGAGTCTGACTTGCGAATATGTTCTCATCTCTGAAGGGCCATCATAACTAGAGCGTAAGAGCAAAGGTCATGAGGCCCCAGAGGAGCCATCGGGATCCAGGAAATAACCCAAGCGCTCCATAGAGGGCACTCAGCGTCAGCTAGAAGAGGAGTCAGACTGGAAGACAGCGGCCGCTGCAGCTTAAACAACGTGAGGCTCTCACATCCAGGCTGCGGTCTCGGGCCTGCTGTTTATGATGCAGATGTGATGCAGGGAGCTCACCAATGCGGTCATACATCCTGAGCAGTGTGTGTGTTTTAAATGTGCTCTTAATAAAATATTTCTGGGCCTGTGCGGAGTCCTGGTCCCTGCGCTCATTAGAGGTCTCCGACCAGCTTGATAAGTGCGGCTCTGCTCCATAATGATTTATTAAGGCTTGGGGTGGGGGGTTTGGCGGGTCCAAACTGCCTCAGGACACTCTAACCATAGAGACATTTAAGGGTAAAGGCTTGGAACAGAGGGTGCCTCTGAACAGATTTACATCATCCAAGATGCATTTCAAAATGAATTATGTAAGGAGAAATGAAATACATAGGAGTTTCACAATTTTTGCCGCCTTTTTCCCCCAGCTCTTTTTCTTTTCTTCTCCTCCTCCTCCTTCTTCTTCTTCTTTTTTCTGTCCTGCTGATGCTCTCGTCTGCATCGCCCTGAGGTAAATTCACGGCCATTTGCTTTATGCTGCAGAGCACTAATGGACAGACAGGGGGACATGAGGGATTGTGTTTAAAAATGAATGGAAAAAAGATGGTCAGATGTGCACAAACAAACAAGTTGGACTAATTCACAGGTGCAGACTGAGCTTTGATGGGATGGGGGAAGATGGACCGCAGATGCAGGCCTGTTAAGTCACATATATACGCGGTGGGGCGGGGGGTTGTGAGTTTAGAGGCTCTGTTACGCTGCTACTTCGATACATTTAGGCTGACTTGACTGCAAAAGTTCAACAACCTATTTTTCCAACTTCTCCTCAACGTCCACAACCAACATTATTATGTCACAGCTCTGCAAATGTTGATTCTTTTTTAATGCAAGTATCAGACTCTAAATTTTTAATGGAGCTTTTATTTAATATGTGTTAAACTTGTATGATGCACACCGATAGACAAGGCTTTTATTGAACTAGTCACCTGCAAGAAGAGTGCAAGCAAAATTCAAGAATTAAAATCTTTGTCTTAGTTTTTCATTTGTGAGCTGTACATATTCCAACAATATACCGTAACTACAAAAAAGAGCACTTGATAAATATGAGGAAAAAAAATGAGAGCGATTCTAACAAGCGCATGCCAGTAAACTGTGATTTCAAAGTAGCAGGTTAGAATAGTATCGCTTCTCATCCAATCGGGATGGGCATCTCAGGCAAGAGCGCTATTCGATATTTGCTGGTAACTGTTTGAACATTATTCGAGGGTCGTTATTTGTCCATCAAACTTACTACTTTGGGTGACGAAGCGTGCCATTGACTGTTGATCCGCGGACAACACCCCACTTTCAGCTGCATACCATGCTCTCAAATGGCTGTGCGTACTTGTTGTCGAGATGTGATATGCTAGTTTAACCGTGCAGAGTTTGCACTTCATTTCCGTTTATTTTGTTTTTTTGAAGGAGCTCCTTACAGAACTTTTTGATGCATGTTTCTGCTGTTTGCATGATTTGCAGCGTCAACTGGCGTAACATTTCGTGTTATCGCATGATTTCCAGGTGCAGGTAAAACGCTTTTTTATGGTTTGTTTGTTTGTTTGTTAAAAACAAAACCAGGGGCATGCAGATGGCCAAGCAGATTAGTGCGCCTCATGTATGGGAACCACATCCCCCGCAGTGGTTGCAGGTTCAAATCTGGCCCCGATCCAATCTATCCAATCAAATAAGGGCAAAAAATCGCCAAAAAAAAAAGACTTAAAAAAAACATTGTCACATGAACTATTCAATCTTTTAAATGTTTGCCCATCCCTGTCATCTCAGCCTGATAACGGTAAAATATTTGTCGATATTTGTAAGAGTACCACAAGACGTCAGAAATATGTGACGGATCATACAAGGTGGAGAGCAACATCTTAGTGAAACTGTCTGGACCTCTGTAGCTGAGTGTGAACAGGTGAGAGCTGGTGCTGGTCAGTAGACATAAGAACTGAGAGCTGGAGAGTGTAGTGAGTCATGGAAGCATCTCCACAGTGAAAAGCTTGGTATCCTCCACTAGAGGAAACAGGCTTAGTGGTTGGAGGATAGATCTTTTTTTTTCCTTGCCACAGTTAATTTTCAAATCTCCAACATCCTATGGCTGTCTGTTTTTCCTCTTCTTCCTTTCTGTTTTTTTCCAGCTTTTATTCTTTTCTTTTAAAATGAAACTGGAGCTGGGGCGGTGATAGTGATAGATGGCTCAGCGCTCTAACACTTTATCCAATCCGGCGCAGATTTCATCCAATAAAGAATCACTTGTGCACTCTCAAACTAAATGGAAGTCAGGCAGCGGAGAGAAAGGGGCTGCCGTGTGTTTCTGAGCTGCGAAAATCAAATTTTCTTAAAGCTGCCGCAGCAGTGGCTGGCGGAAAAGGCAGCAACAGCCATGACTGGCCAGGGCCACGTCTGCACACACAATTTAATCCATCACAGAGCACCTGACACCATATCAATCAACCTTTCATCAGCATGCCCCCCCTACCCCCATCCCAAAAAAAAGAAGAAAAAAAAAAACAATATTTCTATTCAATCACCTCTGACTGAACCAGGCTTTCCACCCACTGACCAATAGGGAGGACCAGAAAACTCCGACTGCTTCAGAAATCTTTTCACATGAAGGAAAGCAGAAAGTAGAACACATGCACTTCTCTGCATGTATGTGTGTGACAGTGTGTGTGATTGTGTGTGAGTGTGTGTGTGCTTATACACAAAAAGGGTGGAGAAAGTATACTGTAACATAATCCCCCCTTTTGCTTTGCCATGAGGTAGAGTACACATGTGGAAAATATTTTTATACATTTAGAGATGAAAAAAATGTATATATGCAAAAACACACTGAAAGGACAGAGTGTTTAAAGTCTGAATGTCACCACTTTTTACAGCACCGCACCGTCAAAATCACTGCTCTTCTTTAACTTTTCCTGTCTGACAGTAAGCCACCACTTCTACACCTCCCCCCAATCACTGTCCTTTGTTCCGGGAATACAGTCCCTCTTACTCCCTCTGTATCCCACAGGCTGTGGCTCCAGTGGCCTATGATTTATAATTCATAGGGGCCGCTTTTATATAGGACCTTAGTCTACCTGATACCCTGCCACTGGGCCTGTCCTGGGACAGTGGGAGGGGGGCTCTTCATTACGCCTGGCACCAAACTTCTAACATGACACCCGCCTTCTTTGAAGCACCGCTGCTGTATGTAAATTGGACGTAATAATCTATTCTTTCCAGTCAGAGTGCTCAGTCACATTCCCGACATGGGGTTGTTTTCAGCAGGCAGCCATTTGTTTCTATCAACTTTCTCTTCTTCGTTATTGGCTCGCGTTGTCTCTAACTCTCAGTCTTCAAACATTAACACAGCACTTTCATCACTGATTCTGAACTTTCATTCTCCCACTTAAGCCTCGCCTTTTCTCGCAGACGTGTGTGTGACGGTTTCTCTTTCTTCCTCCAGGACCTGTAAAGCTCAGGTCTCGGGGTATCCACATCGCTTCCTCTCCGGTTTCATTCTTTGCTCTGACCTTCCCCTGCATACCGTTGAGGTCTCCAACCCAGGCTGCGCTCTGTACTCGCTGCTCTTGGCCTAGGGCTCTGCTTGGCCTCCATGCTCCACTGGCTCCCTAAACCCTGCTGAGGCTCCAAAAGGCCAAACACTGTACTTGTTGTGGATGCCCCACCACCCACCAGTGTCTCTGGCGCTGCAGTGGAGGAAAAAAGGAGGAGGTTGGAGGTGGGGGGTGTGGAGGGGGGGGCTGACTTGTCTGATTGCCAGCAGCAGCTCAAATGACAAAGAAAGAAGCAGCTCAGCCTGGATCAGACGCGTGTATTATTGTTGTTGTTGCTAAGTGCTCCTGACTAATTATTCCTCCCTCATTTGCAAATGGGGCCGCTGCGTATTTGCATATCAATGGAGGCCGAGTTGAGGCTACGATGTCAAGGAGTGCGGGTTAAGCGTGTGGCTAAGCTTGGGGAGCACAGAGGCCATCATCCTTACAACAAACAGAACCCCCCCGCCCCCCACCTCCAAAACAACTCCATGCCTCCAGAACCCACATCACTACCATGACACCCCCTACTGTGTTAGTCCAATAAACAGACGAAACAGAATGGAAGATAGGCTGTTGTCTGAGCGAGGAGGAGGAAGAGGGGGTGGGGGTGTGGGGGGGCTGACATAGCGAAGAGCTCTCTGTCAAATCAGCGGGGTTGCCCCTGGATTAGTTCAGTTGTAACACAACCCTGCGCTCCACTGAGATCATTTAGGCAATTATCAAGAACAAGGCCGGCTGCAATGTTGAACAGCTCACTTCAAAGGGGCCTACACCAGATGAACAGTTACAGCACACTGGTCAATTTCCATACAAGCCCCCCCATCCCTCCCTCTCTCCCCTCCTTCCAGTGCTCTCCTCCTTCACTCACTCCTTCTCTGCGTATGCCTCCAGGCACTTTGACTGTGCTAATGAACATAACACCCCCCCCCCCCCCCAACCCCAAACACACACTCTTGTACTCGCTACTGTATGATGAGAAGTTCATGATGCGCTCCTCCTGTCCCTCTGACGCACAAAAGAAAAGCGGCAGTGAAGGACAGTCAGAACGCTGCTTTACATCTGCCTCTGTCAAACTGAAAGGACTCCGATTGTGAACACGCAGAATATTCTTCTGCAATTTGTTACACAGATAGCGCGCCGCTGGGAGGGCGAAGGATGCATCACTTTGAAAGTTAAAGTTTGGCTTCTTTTCAGATGCTGATGCCGAAGATTTAGAAGAAAAATAACCAGAAATTGTTGGTTCAGATGCACATTTTGAATAAAGATAATGGCTTTAAGTTTTTTTATTTTCCCCGTCAAGAGAAATGTTTTGATTTTTCACTGCTGGCACCCCGGTGAGTGAGTTTGCTATTGTAAGATCAAGCTCAGTAAGTTGTTGAAATAAACTGCTTGACATATACTAAACAATAACTCTACTCCACTAAAAAAAGCACACGTACAGTTTCCAGCATCGATTAAAAGATTTATCACAAAGTGCGGTTATTAAGTTCACATATCAATTATATTTGACAGGCTGGTACTTATTAGATATTTTTTAGATCACTGTTGTTAGTAATTCTTGTTTTTCCGACTCTAATAAATTGTTATGCGCGGTAACAATGTTCATATTTTTGAAGAAATAATATTCAGTTCAACTGATAGTGATTCATTAAATTGTACAGAGCTGCTTCTCTTCAATCTGACAATTTTCTCTCAACTATAATTAAAGGAAGGATGTCTCAGTGAGCAGCGTGACAACATGTTGTATTAAGCAGACCGAAATTGCCAGTTTTCTGTCGTCTTTAGTGAAAGAAGCAAACAAGGCAGGTATTATTATAAAAAAAAAAGTGATGTCCTAATAATTTTTCTTTTTTTTTTTACCATCTCTGCAAAAATTCTTTCTCCAGATCAAAACTAAAACCTACACATCACTGTCTACAACACACACACACTCACTCTTAGACACACCCAGCCAGACTTTCTAATCAGACTGGGTCATGTTTTATTGTAAAGATCCAAGACAAACATACAAGCAACCAGATCCTCCACTCAGGATAAAGTTTCTAATCATGCGCTATAAATTATTCAGCCTCGAAAAAATCTGCCCTCCCCAAATGTTTATTGATGCAGGACCGACACTGTATGTCAGACCGGTGACATGGATATGGATGCCGCCATCAAAGTTCGGAAGGAGCCACAGGAGCGAGGCGGCAGGGGTTGGCCCAGGTCAGAAAGCCAAGGATAGATACTCTGTGTCTCAGATGAGAGGAAGAACCTCAGCTTTAGAGATAATCGATTGACTTTGAGGATGTGGGGACATTGAAGCTCACGACAGAAATGAGAGAGAAATTAGTGAGTGCAGACGATAAAACAAAAGCACGAGTCGTCAATGGAAAAGTTTCGACTACAGAAGGAGGAGTACGATACTTCAGTGGAGAATTTCTGAGTGTTTTTCACCCACCACTCCTTTATTAATTTCCTTTACTGAGTCTTAGATAAATAAATAAATGACTAAGACAAAGTTCAGACTAGGGCTGGGTGATATGGCCTCAAATCAATCATGATATACGGAGCAGTTCACCTCATTAACGATAAATGGACGATAACAACTCCACAAGATGCTCACCCCCTCCCACATTAACTTCGTCTACTTTTACTTCTCTACCGCTCCAGCCACTACAACTTTTGAACCCTCCTCCATCTCCTCACCTGTCTTTCCCTCTTTGTTACAGACTGGATGGGGAGGAGTCACGCCTCCAACGTAGGACGGCGTCTTAAAGGGACATGAGACTATAGCCTACCTACACATATCTAAAAACAACTTTTAATTATTTTTTTGATACAGAATATACTGATATGGGCCAAATGACATTAAATTTCCAGCCCTAGTTCAGATGGTATTGGAGTTTGTACAACAGCAGAATGCTACATGGGACACAGGATGTGATGTATTGTTTAATCTTTAGATAAAAGTGTGTAAAAGTGTCCATTCAGACCAAAAGGGGTCAAAGTGGGTCTGTTGTGATCTTGAATACTTCCCGGTCTGTCAGAAAAGAGATTCTGCACATTTGTTTCTCAGTTATCTCCCTTCTAAATTGAACAATCTTATCCAGCTTATTCCTGTTTTGTACCTGTGTGCTCCAAACATTATTAAAGCTATATTTTAAAAATCTAAGATTTAAAACAACATTATGGCGAGAAGTCAACAGACACACTAGCTAAGAGTGAAGTGAATGGAAGACCCCTACGTATTAAGACGGATTGTACTTTGACCTGAGGAATAAATTCTGTTCAACAATATTTTTAATACTAACAATGTGCATTGTAATATGTTCCGATATGTTTTAGTGTATTTTAAAAGAATAATTAAAGATAGGCATACATTCAGCTGTTAAATATAAATGAGTTATTCTTAAAGTTTGTGAACTAACAGTCTTCCTACTTTTTCTTTGTTCCAGGGAGTCATATTGAACAAAAGCTAACAATAAAATAGAATTATGTTTTCTCTAAATGTATTAAATTCACATACAGAAGAATAATAAAGCATCTCAATCTCAGTTCTTCCTCCCATCCCTCTCTCCTTTCCCTTTCATATTTTCCCCATTAGATCAGAGAGGGTGTCAGAGAAATTGGCTAATTTGTATTTGTTGGGGATGTAAACTGGTTTAAATCTTTAATAAAACAACAAGGATGAAATATCAGACGTCAGCTGCGGAGCATGAAGGACAGCATTTTTATATCCTGTCATTTCAAAGCCTGGGAGATTGGGTGTGTTTGTGTGTGTGTGTGTGCCCTTTAAGTTTGCAAATGATTTGATGGTGATATTATTATTTGAAATATTTACCTCCTCTGTCTCAGACTTAAGCATCAGCTCCTGAGGCCGCATTCATCCACAACCCCCTGGCAGCAATTTTTCAAACATTTCACAAATGAGTTTCATATATCTTAACGGGTTATTGGCTTCATTTCTAAATAATGTTGCATTCTGAATGGAGCCATTGCTGCACAATAGCAGATAACTTAGCGGGAGAAAAAAGATGGTCTTCCCAGATTTTGCCAGGGACTATTCCCTTAGTTTCAAGTTATTATGCAGGTATCATTAAAGTGCCTTTGTGGGCAGATTATTGGTCTAAAAGGGTCGAGGTTGTATCCCCAGTGGAACTTTACAGAAACACTTTTAAAATCATTTATACTGACATTTTCTCTGCTGATCGGCCTCCTAGTGTATGGCTATTTTCAGTTTTGGGGGGAAAAAAATTGAAAAGTTGTGTTTGTAAAAGTGTGAGGGCAAAGGTTTAAGGACTTTTTAAATGATAAAGAAACATCATGGTCACAAATGAGCATAATAAATAATCAAATGGATCAACATTGTAACCTTTATTTGTGAAAACTACTGCTACCATCAGCTACACTTGGAGACATTGTTAACAGGGATGGTCATGGTTTTCCGTATTATCACGGTATTTTAAAAAATGCACTCAAAGGCATTGATTATGGCATTTTTGATACTGTTGACTAGCACAAACAATGCCTTGTTTTCATCATTTCACCATATCTAGACAAAATTACTGTCTTTAACCAAGTGTTCCTACAAAACCCATAATATGCCCATACTTCTGACTTGGTCCTCTAAGGCTCCAACTACAGGAATGCGGATATATTTCAAACCGCACATATTTATGTCCGATTAGGCCTCCCTACCACACCAAAACAGGAGTTTGGAGCACTCAAACCGGATAAATCTGAATCCGAAAAAACAAGTTGAGAAATAAGAAAATACCGGTATAAGTGGATTTGTGTGGTTGAACTTTTACGGATCGATGACGTCAAACCGCAGCTCGCGCATGCGATTTAAAAAGAAAAACAACAACAACGATGGCGGACATACAGGGTATTCTTTACGTTTGTTTTGCCCTTTTGGGGCTAATTTCAGCCTTGCAAGTGAACCTTGTTTTATACAATTACATCCACCAGTCAGCCAGCTCACAGAGGCGTCTGCTTTGTTATAGCCGCCACTCCGTCACATGGACCCAACGCACTAGCGTAGCTTCCGCAAACAATGCATGACGCGTCACGCTGTTACGATTCATCGGCCAATCAGGTAGCTTTGTTTCTGTTTTTTTTTTTAAGCGGCACCAGATAGGGCAGGAGTGGTAATTACAAAAAGGCAAAGAAAAGACAAGTCAATGGCAAAGAAAGACTGATCAACACTGAATTAGTGTTAACTATGGCAGAGTGGCTGACAATCAAGCAAAAGCAAATTAAACACTGCTTTGCACACGAAAGCAAAATTTGCACATGCAGCTAAAAAAATCTAAATTGAGACAAATTGAATTTATAAACATTTATTTCTCAAATGCTTTTTATGATGGTTTAACAACTCTATAAGGCTTGAACAATGTAGAACCAGCAAGGAGATGTTCATCCCATAAAACCTACAAGTCTTTAGATGCAGTTTCACTAGACTAGCATTAATGGTCCCACCAAAAATGCATACACTGTTTTCTCTTTTTTCAATGTCCTCTGCATTTTGACAGACAACTAACTGGGAGAAAAACTGTATTTCAATCTGAAGAGAAAAAACAAATGATTTCTGTTACACATAAAAGGTCTTCCATTTCCCAATGAAAAAAAAAAAGTCCAAGAGTAGACTAGCATTAAATTTGAGGACGAAGGTGACGTACGGATCATAGGGAAAACCACATAAGTTTTACAAATGTGTGTCAAAATTACTACTGATTCTCATAATCCCTGTTTCTATCACAGTCTCTGAACCCCACTCTGTCCTGCTGCGTCATTACTTTATCAGTCAGAAGAACCGCATCAGCAGATGGGGGAGATATTTCATGACATTCCTGTGTCTCTCCTCGTCCTTTAAAGAGATCAGAGCTGGCACCTCTCGGCACAGAGCAGGCTCAGGTCAATCATACAGTCTGTGCATCAGAGACTGTCTCCATCCCCACAGGAGCACTCTGACCCTCTCATCTAAATATTGCATGAATTACATGTGCAGGGTTTCCTGTAGCCAGTTAACCACCACTGATAAAGACAGATGTTCCTCTTCTGCATGGGGACCTGCTAAATATAGCTCCTCCAGATGGCCATACTCTCTGTATATGTCAGTAATACAAGGAAGCTCTCTCAACAGCAGGATTCACTGTCACTCAGGTTAGAACAGCTTGTAGACCTAAGCGACTGACATGTACAGAAAGCATATCTGCACAGCTTAATGTGGGCGGAGAGTGAGCAATTAACCGCCACTAGAAGTCTTAAATGGTGGAAGTGTCTTATGAGTGATATGTGAAAATTAACAGCGTCCATATGATAAAAACACTTCAGACCTACTGCCTCAAAGCAAGCTCTGAATAATGAAATTTAATCCCTATGATCTAAATCAGTAATTGTGGTGTGTTACTCCTAATTATGGCGGCAGCATTGATAATCCTGTTAATACCAATCAGATAGGCGGTGCAGACGGAGTCAGGGAGGGTGAGCAAAAGGAAGAGTGAGAAAACGATTATTTTAGACAGGATCGCTCTTGATAAAGTAAAACATTGGTATTATTCCTCTGAAAGCTATTCACACTGCATTAAGGCATTGTAATAAGTTATAATCTGTTAGTTAAAGTTAGTTTATTTTTGGAAAGTTTGGGTTTTTATTGATGTTTTTATGCCAGTTTATTTTCGATTGTGAAAATCAGGGCAAATACTTCTTACAATTTTTAAAATAACTTGAATAACTTGATAACCAATTACAGCACTTATGTTTTATTTTTTTGTTTTGTTTTTTCTTTGCATTTTTTGTCATTCTTCATGTCTGTTTTTCTAAATAGTGATGATTTTACTTACAGAAATGGTGCCAATTATCTCTCTTTACACAACTTCACTGGAACACGTCTAACCAACAGCATAACTTTGATCTGTTGCAGAAACAGCCTAATGCTCCCACTTAGGTACAAATATCTTTCATTTTTAATCATTAAAAACTAGGGATGCACTGAAAATTCAGCCACTGAAAATTTTCGTCCGAAAATGCACTTTTGGGCCATTTTCAGCTGAAACACTTTTCTCACCGGAACAACACGCCAAAACAGATGTTGTGATGGCGCAAGCAAAAACCGTGACCAGTACACGTTTGTCTGGAAAAGAGACAACATGTCTGCCGTGTGGGCGTTTTTCGGTGTTTCTGCGAACTATGGATAGTGATTAGCATAGCGTGTAATGCTTCATGTCGGGTTTAATTCATCACCTGATATCCAAACATCCCTACCGATCGCCATTCTGAATATGAGAACTTTGCAAAAAGCAGGAAAGTCCCTCCAAGTTTGCGTATAAACAAACATATGCAAACTCATGTTCAGCTCCCGCTATTGATTTATAAAATTGCAATGCCTTGATTTCAGTGAGATTAGTACATAGTCAGAGCCATAATTGCAATGGTAGCTACAAGTAATTGGCATAATAGTTTATTTTGGTGTTTTGGTTTTCGGCCTTGGTTTCTCGGTTTTTGGTTTCAGCCACGAATTTTCATTAAACTACCATGTCAGCATTAAACTGATGGTGGACATCAGATAAACACTGGCTGCTTGCTTTACATGCATGCAGTGAAAATGCAAAATGATACATATTTGATTCATACAAACAGATGATATGTTAGTCAGCCCCATCTTTAAGTATTTAGCAGTAATTAGCTAATCTCAGCATGCTAACATGTTACATTTGAGTTTTTTTTTTTTTGTTATTTACATTTTACAGTAAACAAATGAGTAACAAAAATAGTTCAAATGTCAAATGGCAAGTCCTTTGCTTGTACAAAAGCAGTAATGTCCCTCTACCCTAACACTCCACCCCCCTGTCCAGTAAGGAGATTCTGCCAACAGCTGATAATTTTAAACATGAGGCGGGACGGGATTTGATGGAAAGGCGGTGATAAAAAAGCCAACATAGAAAATGGATGAAAGGCACAGAGAATAGATGCAGATCAGCAGTGGAGGAAAATCCCTCCTGTGTCCATCTAAATGAGTCCAAAGGGGACCAAACAAAATGGCCTCCCCCCTGCCTATTTACAATTCAAGTAGCCCTGTCACAGAGCATCTTATTAGAAGTCTTAAATTTTAGAAATGCCCTGTGTATTGTCAATTGCACTTCTTTAACAACGCTGAAAGGAGCTGTGCAAAACAGGACTGACATGAGATAAATAACTTGATGAAGGGAGGAAGCGTCTGAAGGAAAAAGTTAACTTTTTCTTATTTCCCCTTTGTTTGCCTGAGGAAGGATGTTAGTGGAAGAGAGAGGAAAACTCAGGCAATGCTTGAGCTCCTTCATCCTGCTTATTACAGCGCCGCCCCGGCTCTCTGTCCTCCAGCCTTTTTGCGCCTCACTATTTTAACTACACCTGTCATTTGCGGTCCAGTCATTTTACCTCTCTGCTCGGCTTTCTTTCTCCGCTTACAGGGACTGTTAACTGGGCCTGTCTGTCATGCTGGCTCGGGCTGAGGCTGTTTCTGAGGCCAGGGTGGGGGCAGATTTAGGCTCGGGTGAATGGCAAGAGAGTCAGGGCGGGCGGGAGTGATTTCTTTTCCTTTTTTTTTTTTTTGGAGGGGAGGGTTGTAATGAGCTTGCAGCAATGCAGCGCTATAGGAACACTGCGTGGTTCTCCTTCTCTCCGCTGTGAGGCATCCATCTTAGCGGCAGCGGAGACCGAAGAAGAGGTGAGAAGAAGAGGGAACAGATGCCGTGATACAAAACAGATGTGCTGGATTCCATATTTGTCTGTACCTCAGCGGCCTTTAAATCTCTTTGTCTGTTTCGTTCCCACTCACTTTCTCCTGTTTCATCATTTTCAGGCATCTTCTCGTGTTTCAGGGAGAATACGGTGGATTTAGGGAGTAATTTACATTGAAACATCAAACTGACAGTCTGATGGTATAAACTATAAGCCCGTTCAAAGTCTTAATATAACAATCATGAAGCTAGGAGATAAAAACTATCAGGCTATGTTTACTGTTTGTTCACTTGATTTTTTTTTCTTTCTTTACAAAACTAGCGGGGTGCGCAGATGGCCGAGCGGGTTAGCGCTCAGTAACTTTTAACTTTTTGCAGCTTAAGTCCTAGATCCAGTGTTTCCTCTTTTTTTTTTTTTTGACTCAAAATAGCGTTTCCTCAGCCATCTGTGACAAGTTGAAGAGTCCTCACCTGGTCTTTTGGGTGTGCATCTGTGTGAGCATGCGAGTGCTGTATGTGTTGAATGGGGTTTGGTATTTGTATTTATTTTATTTCATTGTTTTTAATATCCTGCTTGAATGAACAAGAGTCTGTGCTACATTCTATGTATGAAAAGTGCTTTAAAAATAAAGTTTGATTGATCGATTGATTGATGTGAGGAGATTACGGTCCCTGCAGTGGTCATGGGCTCGAGTCCGGTCCTAACCATGTACTGCATGTCCTCCCCCATCTCTCTATCTCCCCATATTTCACACTATCCTATCAAGAAAAGGCAAAAATCGCCTAAAAAATACTTTTAAAAACTTGCAATTAATAACACTAAGTAAGATAAAGAACTGTGAAATTCACATTTGGAGTATCAACAGCTATTTCTCAGATCCAAATCTGTTACTTGCTGTCTGCGATGTTTATGTTTGAGCATCAGCTACTTTGTGAGTTTTTTTAATTGCATGCACTCTAAGGTTCCCCGCAGAGACACTTTAATGAATCAACAGAAAATTAGCATGCACATCAAGAAACATAAGCCTTTAGCAAAACGAAGCAGAGTCAATAGTGCAGTCATTACAACCAGAGAAAAACAGACTGTAATCCTTGACTTTTTTTGGGAGCTATATAAAGATGTATAAACGGGTAAGATTTGCAGACTGAAAACTAAATACACTGCGGTTTACCATCTCCTCCTGCACAATTATTTATACCACAATCACTCCTCCAACTTGAGAGGATAACATTTTTGGCAAGCAAACAGAGCACATTTAACCTTAAACACAAAGGCATGGACAGTAAATGCATAAAAACCTAAAAACAAAACTATAAAAAGGGCCCTATTGACTGAAATGCACTGCCACCCACTACTCTAAGTTGCACTCAACAACAAAACACAGCGAGAGAAACTGAGAAGTAGAGAAAGCTACTCGTTATCTTTGAACCTTCCCCCGATGCTGAAAAGTAGATAAACAGAGAGCCAAGTGGCTGTGCGTCTGTTTTATCACTGCCAGCTACCTTGCTGCTGCTGCTGCTGTTGCTTTATTATTTCATTAAGTGTAAATCCTGTCAGTGCCACACCACCCCCAGCCCAGTCCAGTCCTGCCACTCCACCCTCAGCAGGTTAAATTATAATTTAATTACCAAGCCTTAGCTGCATAAGCTGCTTGGGATCACTGGCCCCCCAGAATAATTTGAAAAGATGGTGTCTCCCCTCATCTCTGTGCTCCTGATCCACCAGACCTGAGCCCCCTGGAGGCCCACTTCAATATCCAACCTAATTATCTTCCTCAAATCAGGCACCTATAACACAGAAATATCAGTAATTAAGTTGGAAAGAGAAAAAAAAAAACTATTGTTTGAGAATTCTTCACGGGCTCTTTTTCTCTTGAAGAGAAGAGCTGTAGGTGTGCCCTGAGGAGATGTGTCTTTAAGCTATTTCTAACTCGCACATTACTGTAGCTGCAGTGCAGCGCTGTTCCTTTATAAAGGGCCTCTAACCACACTGTTACAGCCTCTGACATAGGAACTGAGTCCTGGAGAGCTGTGTCAACACATCACACAGCAGCTTTTATATTTTTACTGTATGTGGGATGAGATTTTGACTTTATAACAAACTGAACTGAAATGTGAACAATGCAAAATGTTCTGTATGAACTTTACGCAGTTTTAACAAGATTACAGTTTAGTCTCCAAGTGAGTAAGAACTGGTTACAAACAGACTAAAATCTATAGGGCTGCCTGTACATAAATTAAAAAATTTAAAGACACAATTAGTGAAATGAAATGAAATCACAATTATTTCTATGTGCATCAGAAAAGGTGTCTGACACAATTATCAACAGCAAGGTGAAAAGAAAGCCTTTTGTTTTCATTTACCATGACAAATTTTCACAGTGAGTGATGTATTTGGTGGTTTAAAATCAGAAAAATAAGATTTTTGTTAGTAAACACGACCTACAAGATTAGATTAGCAAAGCAATGAGGGTTACTGGCTTATTTACAGGGTACAATACAAACCCAAAGTCCCTTGCTGAAGCTTTAATCTAAAAAACATGTTCATGTATTAAGACACGATCACATTCATAGTTGCTTATAGAGATGAGCTAGAACAGCCTAAGTGCATTGTTTTATTTTAGATACATCTCTGCTGGTTTTCATGTTGTTTTGCAAAAGCTGTCCTTAAAATGGTTGTAATGTGATCTCTCTGAAAAGTGGGTTCGAGACAGTGGATCCATCTATACGTCACGGCTAACCTCTGCCATAGATTGAGCTCCTCTGCTGCACAGGTACCTGGCAAAATGGCCATAGTGGATGGGACTAGAAAAAGCTACACATCTGCATGCAACCTGTATGTTGCTGAACATGCAGTCTTCACGCAGAAACACGATTGAAAATCATTTTTCTTTCAGGAGACCCCCCCCAAAAAAGACAAACTACATCAAGTACCAGTGCAACTTATACTCCAAATTTGACTGAAAATTTAATCAAACCAGTTGTTTTCAATGTTTTGCTGTTGTCACACTATTGGCTAAATGTTCCTAAATGGCAAACTGTGTAACTACAACTGAAGCGCTGCAGTTTACTCTTAACAAGAAGAATAAAAAGGCACTTTCTTCACCCCAGCCACAGAAGCAGAAATGGTCTCTACATGTTCAGTAAAGTGACATAGAAGAAAAAAAAAAACCCTCTGTGAATCTGCTATGGTGATGTTGTGTCAAACTCTGAGATGCAAGAAAAACAAACCTGTAAATCAGCTTTGACAGTCATTGAGAGGGACAATGACAACTATGTTTCATTGTGTCACAAACACAGAAGAAATATCTTTTCATATGAACTTCCTTTGTCTGCATTTATTTGAATGTAAATACGACTCAGCCGGTGCCGGTTTATTATTCCTTGTCAGATGATCTCTCGCCAAAAATGAATCATTTATGAGGGGATTTATTTTTCAAAGAGAGATAAAATCATAAACTCCTATGGCACAGGTTGTAAAAACACTATATAATTATTTCTGGCCAAGAATAATAGTGTCATTTTCTATGTGCTAATTTGACACCACAAAATTGGGAATTTCATCCAAAAGAAAGGCATTATACGAGCCTGCAGGGAAATGTAATTTGAAGAAATCACAGATCTAATACAGTTTATAATAGCAGCAGAAAGCAGAAAGTGCTAATTTGCTATTCATACTGCTTTCATAACATAACTACAGTTTAGTTTAACTCAACCGTGTCAGCGCGTAGAGCTCTGTTAAAAACCCTCTCCACATGAAAGCGCCCCTTTTAACACAGATTTTTTTTTTCCTTGTGAGACAAAGATAAGTAAATACAGAGGAGATAATGAATGGACTGGAAAATGAGTGTTACCGCTCTGCACTGTTCAATCTCTGGGACAATTGCAGCATTTTGGGGAAAAATTGCTTGAATCCCCCCCCCCTCCTAACACACACGCACACACCCTCCTTGTCCATCACACGCAGATGTACACACACATATACACTCACACTCACTCATCTCACCCCCTCTCATCCTATAATCCTCTGGCAAAGCCCTCTCTGTCCACGCAGACCCCCCACCCAGCGGGACCCTGCCAAGGCAAATTAGGGAAGGGGAGGGGGGGCTTTTGTTTCGAAGCACTCTGTGAGAAAGGAAAAAAAAAAAATCCAAATCATTTCTTGAGCTGGAGCAATTTGACATGCTGTGATAACTGCTCTGTCAGAAACTTCTTTGACATCTCTGAAAGAGAAGATTTTCTGCCATAAAAACCAGGGCTCCATTTAAAACCAGGCTTGAAAAGAGCCACAAACTCATTAGGCTGTTTAATTACGCCCTTTTTCTCCCCTCTCCCTGTCTATCTCTCATCTCTGTCAAAACAGACGTACAAACAAACTGGCCTCATCACAAGTAGACCTCGCCCTCATCATGGCTTTCTATTCACTCTTTTCTCCTCTCACAATGTCTCATCTGCCTTTTACCTTGTCCCTTCCCTCTTGTACCTGACGTTATTTTGTGCCTCCAAGTGCAAGCTCTTCTCTCCCCCTCCTTCTGCTCCCTCTATCACTCTCTCCTTTGTATTTTCCTCCAAACCACTAAGTTAGGTTGTTGCCTCACTGTTATCCTCAGCCTCTTTGTATAGATAGACCACTTGTGTTCTTAGGGAAGTGATGTTGTTTGAACACATTTCACGTGCAACCATTCCCCATGCTTTCCAACTGTGACTTCTGGCGCTGTTGTTGGATGTACTATCTTGGAGAAAGAGCCCCCAAAACAACTGAATTTACTGACAGGAAGAAAATGTCCTGTTAATCTTTTAGAGCATCCAAGCAGATGAACAAAAATCGAGCTAAAAATAAGAACTTCAGTTCATGAGTGGGGGTGTTTGCGCCAAGACACAGTACGGGAATAGTTCATTCAGTGTTTGGGATGTTTGTGTAGTCCAGTCCAATAAGTTTTCAAGCTTTGGCTTCCAAAACTGAAACAAAGAGTAGCTAAGTAAACATGAGTACCAGTGGCGGCAGGTCGCTGTCCAACATGAGTCTGGTCCTGCTCAAGGTTTCTGCCTGTTAAAAGTTTTTCCTTCCCAGCGGAACTTGCTAAATACTGCAAAGTGCTTTACTCATGTTCGATGAGATGGGTCAA